CCAAAAAAAAAAAAAAAAAACAACACACTTTACTCTCTCAACAAAAAAATAAAATAATAAATTGAAAGATAAAAAAAAGGGGCTTATATGGCGTTAACGTATGTGTGGGAGTGGGAGTGTGGGTTAATTTGTGTGTGCTATATCATCATAATGTTTTTTTTTTGAATTAATAATAAAAAAAAATTAATTGTCAATGTTACATTATCATTTTGTTTTGTTAAAATTAACCCATCTCATCCAAAAATAATTCAAAAAAAAAAAAAAATTATTTATAAACGATTGCACACACACAACACTTTTATTGTTTTTTAACACACCTATACATTAATTAATGTGAATACTCACAAATTTCAAAAATTATAAAAAAAAATAAAAAAAGAATATTCTAATTTTGAAAAAAAAAAAAAGATAAAAAGGCAATATTTTTATTTTTTATCATTTTATTAAAATTATTTTTAAAGCATCAGTTCAAATTATTTATAAATATAAATAAATAGATTAATAATAATAATAGTAATAATTTAAAAAATATAAAATATATCTATATTTTTTTCTGGAACGATATTTGTATAAAAAAAATAAAAAAACATAGAAATATCTTTGTTGTTGTTGTACTTTATTCATTTCTTTCGTTAATATAAATATTTTTTTTTCATAATATATCTATATTAATAACACCTGTATTTTATCATCAAATTTCATATTCAATTTCAAATAAAAATAGAATTAATCATCGCGTTGAAAGTGTTAGCTGCCATCAAAACGATTGTGATTTAGTATATTATTTTCCGCCAGTAAAAAATCATCTTTTAATGTAAATATTATAAATTTTGTATATGTATATCTATTGTTTTTTATATATCTTTTTAATTATAATAGTTTAAATAATATATTGTATATATATATATCTCTCACATAAGTAAAATTCAAAATTGCAACCCAGCCACATTAATAATTATTATCATAATATTTTTGTGTAAACTGGGTGATATTATTTTTAAAAATTCTCAATCACTCACAAAAAAAAAACAAATAATTTAAAAAAAAAATCTCTTCAATGTGATTTAATTTTTTGTAAAATAAAACGAGATTTTAACATTGTTTCACTAAATAATAATAAAATAATATTAATCAGTAATATACAAAAAAAAAAAATAATAATAAAAATAACAATTATTAAAAAAATAAAAATAAAAACTAAAAAAAAAAAAAAAGAAAAAGAAAATATTTAAATTTTTTTTTTTTTATAAATTAATAATTTAATATAAATAATCATAAATCAATTAAACATTAATAATAATAATATTTGTATGTAGAACAAAAAAATCACATTCATCATTTTTGAAAAAATCAAGAGGATTGATTAAAAAAAAAAATTATTTAAAAAAAATTATTTAAAAAAAAAAAAAAAAAAAAAAAAAACTGCCTCATTATTATTTTTTTATTTTTTTTTTTATTTATAATTTCTTTTTTTATTTTTTAAATAACTATTAAATATTGTTTATCTATGTTGTTGTCTTTTTGTTCTAAACTAGATTCAGTATTATATCGTCGCATATAGACTAAATTTAATGTGTAAAAACCCATCAATAGATAAAAATTAACAATAATAACATTTAATCATAATAATAATTTTAAAAATAAATATCAAACAAAATATCATTAATAACACACACACACATAAATAATATTATTTAAAATAAACCCACTAGTACCCACATTCACACTAAATAATAAACAAAACACATACATCTTATTTTTAACTCACCCCCACCCACACACTAACCTCTTACAATTTACAATTTTATTTTTAATTTCTTTTTTTTTTATTTTATTTAATTTTCTATTTTTTTTTTTTTAATGATTAAAAATACATAACAACATTTTTTAATCAAAAAAAAAAAAAACAATATTTTTTTAAAACTTGTATAATATAAACCATTTATAATAATATATAGATTTATTTATTTATTTATTTATTTAATTTATTTATTTATTTATTTAATTATTGTTTAAAATATTTTTTTCTTTTTTTTTAATTATTATATTATTATTTTCACACACACATTAATCACAATTTTTATTTTATTTTAAATAATTTTGTGTTGTATTTTTAAAAAATCAAAAAATAATTTAATATATATTAATAATATATAAATAGTTTTATAATATTTTTTAGTAGTTAGTTTTTATATATACAATTATATATACATTTCAAGTTAGAAAACAAAATGGGTATTTGTGCATCATCAATGGAAGGCGAAAAAGCCAATAGTGATATTAATTTACAAATTGAAAGAGAAAGAAAAAAGAAACATAATGAAGTTAAATTATTATTGCTTGGTGCTGGTGAATCGGGTAAATCAACAATTTCTAAACAAATGAAAATTATTCATCAAAGTGGTTACAGTAATGAAGAAAGAAAAGAATTCAAACCAATTATTACTAGAAATATTCTCGATAATATGAGAGTGCTTTTAGATGGTATGGGTAGACTTGGTATGACAATTGATCCATCAAATTCAGTAAGTAAACAACAAAATAAAACAAATAAAAAAAAAAAAAAAAAGGTTATTAATAAAATTTTTTTTATTTTTTTTCAAATTATAGGATGCAGCAGTTATGATTAAAGAATTAACATCATTACAAGCATCAATTGTAACAGATTGTTGGGGAGAATTAAATGAAGAACAAGGTAAAAAGATTAAAGCTTTATGGAGTGACCCAGGTGTCAAACAAGCAATGAGAAGAGCAAGCGAGTTCAGTACATTACCAGATTCAGCCCCATATTTCTTTGAAAGTATCGACCGTATGACATCACCAGTTTATATTCCAACTGACCAAGATATTTTACATACTCGTGTTATGACAAGAGGTGTCCACGAAACAAACTTTGAAATCGGTAAAATCAAATTCCGTCTTGTTGATGTTGGTGGTCAACGTTCCGAAAGAAAGAAATGGTTATCATGTTTCGATGATGTCACCGCTGTTGTCTTCTGTGTTGCTCTTAGTGAGTACGATTTATTACTCTATGAAGATAACGCCACCAATCGTATGTTAGAATCTCTTCGTGTTTTCAGTGATGTTTGTAATAGTTGGTTTGTCAATACCCCAATCATTCTTTTCTTAAATAAGAGTGATCTTTTCAAGGAAAAAATCAAACATGTAGATCTTGGTGAAACTTTCCCAGAATATAAAGGTGGTAGAGACTACGATAGAGCTTCAAATTATATTAAAGAACGTTTCTGTCAAATTAATAAGAATGAGCAAAAAGCTATTTACTCTCACATTACCTGTGCCACTGATACAAATAATATTCGTGTTGTATTTGAAGCTGTTAAAGATATTATTTTCACCCAATGTGTCATGAAAGCTGGTTTATATTCTTAAATTTTTTTACATATAATAATAAATAATATAAATAATATAAAAAAAAAAACTAAAAAAAAAAAAAACTAAAAAAAAAACCAATCAAAAATAACAAATAACAAATAATAATATAACAAATAATAATAGTTTCAAAACATGTCACCTATAATATATATTCAAATCCAATTTAAATTACAAGCTAAAAGCAAATAATTTAATCTTTTTTCTTAAAGCTTTTTTTTTTTTTTAATCTTTATCTAAATTCTTTTTTTCTATTAATATTCAAAAAATAATTAAGTATAAAGAAAAAAAAAGAAAAGAAAAAATCTCTTTTTTTATTTTTTTTAGAATAAACAAAAATCAATTGTAAAATTAAAACAAACGTAAATAAATGAATAAATAAAATATTTTTTTTTAAAAACAAATAAAATTATAATTTTCTTTTTTATGTGTATATTATTATTGTTTAATTTTTTTATTATCTAAACAATTTTTATTATTTTTTTTTTGGTTTTTAAAAAACTATAATAAATTTATAGTGGATAATAATATTTATTTAAAGAATATTGTTTATTAAAAATCATCATCATAAAATTGGTCATCGTTTGATAAATCATCAAAGGTATTTTCTACTGTTGATAAAGAGGTTGATGTTATATTATAGATAAAAGCTGGAATATTTGTTTCTACATTTTTATATTTGTTTTGATATCTTTCAAGTCTTTTTGATTCTTTTTCAGCAGCCTCTTCTTCGTCTACAGGTTTTGATGTTTTAAATTTCTTTATTGGTTGTTGATTGGTCATTTGTAATTGTTGCTTTCTATCTAATTTCTTTTGAGCTTCATCTTCAAATAATAATGAGAAAGGTTCAATCATTTGATAAACTAATGGATATTGATAAGGTGCTATTTGAAGTAAATCTATTGCTAAACCATAGTTAGAGTCTTGGTAGGTGCCCATCTTTAAATTTGGATAACGTTGACTGAAATGAGTTAAAAGTGAAAATGAACAATTCATATCTCTTGAGACTTGTAATGCTTCACCTACAGTTGAATGACGTTTTGAAACAGCATCATTTTGTTTTTCATCTTCAAAAGTTGCTTCGTGAATTAAAACTGATGAACCTTTACCCATTTCTGATAAAAATTTACATGGACGAGTATCGCCAGAGTATGACATCTTAAAACCATCATTCCATTCGATAACACAACCAAATGCTTGATTACAATGAATAACTGGTACCATTGAAAATGTTTTAATATCTAATTCTTTACTGACTTTGTAGAGATCTGGACAATCTTTACCTATAGCAATACCGACAAACTTCATTGGTAAAATACTTGATAATTCAGTTACCCATTTAATTAATGGCTCTGGACCAATAATATAGATTGGTTGAATTTCAACACCCAATTCTTTGGCAAATTGTTCTCTTTTTTCGATAAGGTTTGGAATACCCAAGTGGTGATCAGCGTGTAAATGAGATAACCAGATCATTCTGAGATTGATTAATTCTTTCTTTAATTTGTTTGGACCAAAGAAACGATATAATTGACCAAATGTACTTTCACCTGCATCTAAAAGTAAATTTTTACCATCTTTAAGTGTAATAAAATTACCTGTGACATTTCTATATTTTGAAGGTATAGCTGAACCAGTACCAGTAAATAATATCTTTGGATGGCAACACTTATTTGGATTTGATTCTAATTGGAGGATTTGCTTATCTAATTGGGTTTTAAATTCTTGACCTTTTTCAGTGTTAATAAAATCTTCCATTGATTTGCCATTATCTACAAAATCATTTTCCTCATTTACACTTGATGCAGCGGCAGCAACTGAAGAGGAGTTAAACATTGGTAAAAATTCATAGTTACCAGCGAATTGTGGTGGGCCTAATTGGATATGGGTAGCATCTTTACATGGTAAAACATTGTTGTTATTTAAAGTTTGATTGCTTGATAAAAATTCGATTGGTTTAACGATACGTTCATCTGCAGTGTTTGGGAACAAGTTTGGTATAAATTTACAAAGTTTTGAGATTTGTAGATCTGAGGAAAGACAACCTGGGGAACGTTCACAATTATCATTATTAACAATGACATGCTTAACTTTATTGTTGTTTTGACGACTGATGCCTTCCATAAATTCGATATATCTTTGATTTTTTAAAACTGAGTATGGTACAATATGATTGATTACTAAAATATCTACAAATAAATGTTGATGGCTAAATAGACCATTAAAGTATTCTTCTGATGGACAACGAATAACAGCAACCTTTGAACCCTTGACACTTGGTTCCATAACTTGATCAGGACTAATCATAACACCATCTTTATTTGCAACAGAGTTACCATCTTGCAAATCTTTGAATGCTCTTCCTTTTGGAACACCTAAAGCAACGGCTCTATCAGGTAAAAATTTACCTTTAAAATCTTTAGTTTGAGCAATATAACAAACAATTGGACTATTTTCATAGGATTCCTTTTTTTGATTGAAATTTGGTTTTTTACCATAGTAGACCATTTCAGGTTGGCTTGATTCATCAACAGTTGATTTCTCTAATTGCTCTTGATTCTTATAAATTGGTAAAGTATGAAAAATAAATAATTCATCACGAAGAACTTGAACGAGATGGGTGTTAATTTCGTAAACTTCTATATTTAAACCAAATTGAAAATCTCTTGATGCTGTTAAAAGTTTATGTAAACCTTTTGGACCATATACACGTATCTTTACATTATACTCTAACAAAGTTAAAAATAAACCAATTATACCACCAATACAATCCCATGACAATGTTGTAATAAATATTGATTTAACCTTTCCTAATGTTATATTGGGTCTACCCTTGATGAATCTTTGAAAACCTTCACCACAATCGAAAAAATATCTGTCACTATCTGAAAATAAATAACTTGTAGTTGGTGTATCACCATTTTCACCAGTTATTTCAAAAAACGATTTCATTTCCTTAAATTAATTTGTAATTATTATTAACTATTTTATATTATTATTATTTTTATTGTTATTGTTTGGTATCGGATTTGAAACTATAGTTTTTTTAAAATTCATAATATTTGAAAAAAAATTAAAATAATTTGAAATTTTTTTTTTTTTTTTTTTTATAAACCCAAAAAAATTAAAAAAAAAGAAATAAATAAAAAAGAAATAAAGTAAAATTAAAAGAAAAAAATTAAGAATATTATAAGATATCGATCAGATTTTAAATCAAATTAATTATTTATTTTATATTTATATTAAATTATTATAATAATTTTACATTATAATACCACGTTTTTTTTATTTTATGATTAAATTGGGGACAATGTTGATTGGTGGTGGTGATGATCTTGTTTATTATTAAAAATATTCCAAAGATTTTCGTAGAATTCTTTAGTGGCTTCTGGGGCTTTGCTATTTTGACCTAAATAAAAATCAAAGAAACAATTGGCTAAACGTTTATCTTTGATTTCTTTGACTGGTTTTTCGTTAAAGAAAATGATGAGTGATGGTGAATCGCCATCTTTTTTAACAAAATCGATTTGTTCGCTTGTTGAAATCTCTTGATGTGGTTTTAATGATTCTTTAAGTTCTAACATCATTGGCTCGATCTCCTCCAATGTCATATTGTAGTTCTTTAATAACATAACAATCAAAGCTCTTTGGAACCCACCATAAATATGACCCCATGTTACCTTTCTATTTGGTCTAATTTTTAATGATACACCAATACCTTTATCTAAAATCTCTTGTTTAATACTTTCTTTATCATTACAAAACTCTTCTTTACTCTTTGTAACATGTTCACTTAATTTGGTTTGAGCATGTTCTTGATTAATATAGAATCCCAATGAATAAACATTTATATCTATAAACAAGTGATAAATATTATAAACAAGGTTAGTGAATCAATCAATATTTAATGTTTTAAAATTATAAACTAAACATACTAATGAATGATAATTTTCTATTACCAATATTGACAATATTAAATAATATATTTTGATCTTTATTTAAAATTTTAGGGAATTTAAAACCAGTTTTAATTTGAGTAATAAAATCTTCATCTTCGTCAAAGCATTCTTGGCATAATACAATTGATGGTACAGCTAATGCAATACCTACAATACCATATGTTAATATTTTTTTATAATTGAAATTATTATTATTACTATTATTATTATTATTATTATTGTTTTGATAGTTAAAGCTATAATGACTAAATCTTTGTGGACTAGATGCTCTTGATAAACATCTAACTAATTGTCTATTTCTTGATGTATTTCTTAGTAATAAAGATAACATCTTTAGTTTTTTTTATAAAAATGAAAAATAATAATAAAAAAATTTTTAAAAAAAAATAAAATCTTTTTTTTTATTTTTTTTTTTATTTTTTTTTTTAATTTTTGAAAAAATAATTTAATTTGGATGTGTGTTTAATTTCACATTTGTGGTAAGTATTACTTGAATTGAACTTTTATTAATTTTTACAAATTATATTTATATTTTATTTAACTTTTTTTTTATTTATTTAATTTTTTTTTAAAGATAAAATTGTTTAGAATTATTTGAAACTTGTTTAGGTTGTTTGCCATCCTCTTTTTCTTTTTCTTTATTGATTTTGACAAGTTGTTGTTTTCTATTTTTAGATTGCTTATAGTTGTCTAAAGTTTTTTGTTTGAGTAATTCTAAATTTCTTTTTAATAATTCTTGCTCTTCGTCAAACTTGGTGTTATTGGTATTGTTTTGTTTTTTATTTGGTTGCTTTCTCTTTTTTTCCTCTTCCTCTAATTGATTTGATGATAATAATTGATTGTTTTTATTGGAGCTGTTTGATTTGATTTCATCTTGCCATAAATAATTTCTTTTAGCAGAGTCGACAGGCTCCATTCTCTTTTTATTTGTAAAATCTTTTAAAGTTGGTAACTCGAGTGGTGGTCTTTCAATTTGTTCGTTAAATTTAATATTGTCTTTTAATTCATCAAAGTCATCGACTGTACGTCTTTTTTTCTTTCTACCGTGGTTGGATGCGTCCTCTTCCTCTTCTTTTCTCTTTTCCTCCTCTCTCTTTTGTTGCTCCAAGTAATCTGAATAACGGATACCTTGCTTCTTTAATTTCTCTTTTAGTTTCTTTTCATCAAAGTATTCTTTTCTCTTTTGATAGGTTGATGAGTTCTTTTTAGTTTTGATTGCAATTTCTTTATTGATTCTTTCTAAATAGGCTCTGTGATCTTCACCCTTGTGTTTCTTTAGGTTGGTCTTTAAAATATCGTCTTCTTCTTTAACACCGTCTGGAACATCCTCTTTTGATTTTTGATAATACAAACTGTTTAATTTTTTTAAATCCTCTTTAATATCTACATTTATATTGTCTAATTCTTTTAAATTTTCTTTTTTAATTTTTTTATTTATTGGTTTATTTGTTGTGGTGATTGGTGCAGTGGTATTGTTTGTTGCTGTAGTAGTTGCAGTTGTGGGGGCGGTAGCTGCTGTAGTTGTTGTAATTGTAGTTGTGGTTGTTGTTTTAACTGCTGATTTATTTTGTTGTACTTTTTTTTCTTGTTGTTCTCTTAATTTTCTTTTATTTTCAATTGTTTTGATTAATTCCCTACCCTCCATTAATGTTCGTAAAGATTTAGGAATTGAATTTGATTTTTTTTCTTTAAAAATTTTATCTCTTGAGGTTTTATCACCTAAAACCTCACCCTTGAAAAATGGGTCGCATTGTTTGATTTTTTTTTTTGATTTTAATGGCATTTTTAAATTTATTACTTTCTAAAAATATATAAATAATAATTATAAACACTAAAAAAAAAAAATAAAAAAAAATTTTCGTTTTTTTTTTTTTTTTTTTTTATTTTTTTTATTTTTTAATTTTAATTTTTTTAATTTTTTTAATTTTTTAATTTTTATTTTTTATAATTTAAATTTCAAAAAAAATATTTTATTGATGTTTATTTTAAAATATCTTATAAGATATTTTAATCATACCAATATATTTTAAAAAACATAATCGCAAAAAAAAAGCAGATTAAGTATGTTTTTCTTTTTTTATTTTTTTTTTTTTAATATTTTTTCTAAAAGAATTCCTCATTTTTCAAAAAAATTAAAACTTAGTGTGAGGTTTGGTAAAAATTTTATACTTAGGGTGTGGTGTTCCAAACATAAACCCCATTAAACATCCAAAAAGAAAATTGAAATTAATTTATTTTTTTTATAAATTTTTTTTTTTTTTAAATTTACTATTTTTTTTTTTTCACATCATAATTCCACTAAGTATTGTTATTTGATATAAAATCAAATAGATTCAAATTAGTTATAAAAGTTTTGTATAATAAATTTTTTTATAAATTTTAATTTCTACTAATAATCAAACAAATATATATTGAATAAATAAACAAATAAAAAAATAAATAAATAAAAAAAAAAAAAAAAAAAAAAAAATTAAAAAAATTATATCAATTAAACAGTTTAAATAACCAAATAAAAAATGGGAAAAAACAAAAAAAAAAATAGTCAGGAGGTTGCAGTTGACAACCACAATAGTATCAATGAAGGTGATGGCGATAATGATAATAATCAAAATCGAAATGATAACAATAATAGTAATAATAATAAAGGTGATAAAAATAATAACAATATGAATATGAATAATAATAATAATAATAATAATAATAATAATAATAATAATAATAATAATAATAATAATAATAATAATAATAATAATTATAATAATTATAATAATTATAATAATAATAATAATAATTATAATAATTATAATGAAAATGGTGTTAATGATAATAATAAAAATAAATATAACAATAATAATAATGAAAATAAAGATAAAGGTCCAGAAAATATCAGAAAAAGTAAAGGTGATTGGGAGTTCCTCATTGATAATAATCAAACTAAACAAAAACAAGGGGATGCAATAGCATCAGATGAAAAACTATATGCAAATGACCAAGCTACAAAAAATACTACTTTTCAATTGGAGATGCTACATGATGCCACTTTTTTCTTTCAAAATCCAGTTGGAGAAAAAAATAGTGATTTTTTGAACAAGATTGAAATTATAAATGAGGAGAAAGGATTTTTCGATAAAATTAAATCATACATGCCCGGCAGGTCAGATATTACGTATTTTAGTCCCGTTAGTGATACATGGATTTTAAATAAAGATGGAAACATAAAGATACCAGAAAAGTTAGATATTAAAAAATATCCACATAGAGGTCTTTGGTATTTAATTGGTATATCAAAGTAAGTTTAACACCTATAATACAATAATAAATAATACTAATAATACAAATAAATTTTTAGAAATTTAAATTTTTTTAGTGACAATGTTAACGAAACTCTTTTATCAATGGTAAACTCCTTAATTGAAAGTAGAACCCCGGTTTGGAATACAAATATCAAGGGCATGGATGATGTAAAAGATTTATATTTTCAATTTATTAAGTCTTTGATTTCCCTAGGGTATAATAAAAGGGTTATTACTTATTTAATTTTAAATTCATTTGATCAAACTGGAGATTTCAAAAGAATTGGTATCGAAGAGGATTTTATTTCTAATATCCACAATTACCGAGATTTTGGTGACTTGTTCCCAATAATCAAAAGTAAAATCCGATTCTTAAATATTTTTTTCGAATGTTCGGGACTGTTTGGTGGGGGTGATTCTCTAAAAAGAAATGTGTCCATGGTTTTCCAAATTTATGATTCGTTCAAAGTTAAACATGAAATAAACACTTTTTTAAATTTTTGGATAAATGGAGAAGTAAATTTTGTTAGACAACACCCAAGGCTAGTGTTTTTTAAAATTTTAGTTTCCACCTATATCAGCTTAAAAAAAAACTTAGCTTACAACAATCCGATTAATAATTTAATCATCTTTTTGATTCAAAATGAACGACCATCTTTCGATTTGCTAAAGATCCATCACATTTTCAACAAATTCAATTATAGAGTTGTTTCTTCACATGAAGATTTATTAGTGTAAGTTTTTATTTTTTTTCTATCTAATTTTTTTAATTTTTTATAAATTCAATATTAAAATTTTTATTAATTTATATTTAAATTATAATAGAACTATAAAATTAAATGAAAGAATATTAATTAGTGATGACGTTTTAAATAAAGCAATTTCAAAAGTTTTTGAACCTGGTTTTTTCATCCAATTATTCAAACTTGGATCAAGTAATAATGATTTAATTAGTGACGCTAAAAAGTATTCATTGCTTCAAATTCATAAGGATTTTGGTTTGTTTCTAGAATTTACTTTATTACATCCAAAAATGGAAAAGTTATCGGTATCCCAGTTAACCTTCTCCAAACATATGCTGTATACTTATGTAAAATTGTTCAAAGAGTACGAAAAAAATTACAATTTCTTTTCAAATGGCAAGAGTAGAGATAATTATCCAAGGTATTACGAACTTGGTACTTTTTTAGTTGGCCAGTTTCAAGAATCACCACTTAAGCATTTTGTCTCAAATGGGGAGGACACAAGTTTGTTTGCTTTTTTGGTTGCAAAAAAATTAGTAGAGCCAATAGTTAAAGATATGCAACAATCTCATTATTCCCATTCAGTTTTTAAATACCTTTCAACAGTAAATATCGGGGACAGTATTGATTGGTTAGAAGATTTTACAGATTTAATTGATTCAAAGGAATTTGTAAGTAATTTATTTGTTTTATCAAATTTATTGTATAATAAAATCTAATATAAAACTTAAATTTATTAAATAGATAAAAACCAAATTACTCGAAAAGTCGGAAGAAATTGCTTTAAATGATGTAAATTTTGAAAAGAATAGTAAAACTTACTCAATAATATCAACCACTCTCAAATCATATTTCAACAAGGTGATTACACCCGCCGATGATTTAAATGATTCATACAAGATGCTTAAAAGTGAGATTGATAAACTTAAAAAATTGGATGACTTCATCTCAGAGACATTCGAAATAAAGAAATATGGTTCCACAAGTTTAAATCAAACAAAGATTTCTTTAAAAACTCAATTGGCAAATTTAGAGGACCATATCAAAAACGTCAAAGTAACAGGATACAGCGACACTTTAAATACTAGCTCAATAACAATATTGAAATATTTTGTTATCGAGGACTCTCAGTTTTTCAAAATTGTTTTCAACCATTATAAAGATAGTAGCAACTCATTAAATGAAATCTGCACGATTACCCAACAGTTTTTAACTGGTTTGTCAAAGATGAACAGAGATTTAAATTTAAATTGTGAGCTTTTTAAACAGCTTTCAAAAAATACAATTAACTTAAGAAAAGAAATCGATATACTTTGTGGCTATTCTAGAGTAGGTCAGTTAAAGGTAGATGACTTTAAAAAGTATATCGAAGAAGTCATTTCTCTATTTAGTATTCAGAGCAATTATCATTCACTTTTAAACTTTTTTGAAAAGAACTCATTTATTAGAATCAATGATTTAAAGAAATCTCAAACCGATATTGATCAACTTTTAAACCCAATTAAATCAAACGAAATCAATTATAATACATCAATTTCAACAAAGACTAAAATCGAACTAATGATTGGTAATCTTACATATCATCATATTCCATTCTTTTCAACCATTGAAAGAGAATTGATAGAGTTTTTTGCAGGCTTCAAAGATGAAAAACACTTTTATGAAAGAACAACAATTATATCTACCAACTGTATTGAAACTCTAAGTTCAAGTCTAATGGATTATGCATTAAAGTTAGCACCAGTTTTAAATCCAATTGTTTTGGATTACAAAAGAGCTAACAATGACCACACTTCACATTCTTTCACCGAGTATTGTTCAAAAATGCGTGCTTTATTACCAAATTCTCAAAAAGATAGTGACAATCTTTTAATCAAAATGAAGTCACTTCAAGAAAATATCCCACATCTAAAGTCATTATACAGTGGTGCAGGTAGTGTTATTACTCTTCCAAGATTATCAGATATACTCCGTAACTCTACTTTTATATCCACTATGGAAAATGGTAGCCATACATGGTCTGTAAAAGTTGAAAAGTTTGAATATAACCAAGATATTTTAGAAGAGACTATTTGTGGCTTAAGATTAAATTCAGGTGAAATCAAAGAACCAGCACAACAGCAAACTTTTAAAGATTATCAATTGTTACACTCGCTATTAAAATCAATACACATCAGCCACATAGAATTAGTCAAAATGTTCCACCATGATTTTTTAAATGGAGTATTAGAAATCAAAATCAATCAATCACTAAATGATGTTCAACTAAAAAATGATGAGTTAAAATCAAAAATTGAAGAGTGGAAAGATTTACTAAATTCACTTTCAAATAGAATTAGACTATTAAGAAATCAACATATATCATCATTGTTTACATCTATTATACATTTCTTAAATAATAATAATAATGGCAATAGCAATAAAGACCAGTCAACAAAATTAACAAATATTTTATACCATTATGTTAAGTTTTGTTACTCAAAATCAAATAAAGTTTCAGCATCATCCATTAAGCAAATAATAGAACTTCATTTTGGAGAGGAAGACTTTGTTGGAAGAATTATTAAAGAAGGTGGTGGTTTAAATACTTTATCAGTAAGAAATTTTATTTCTACACTCTTCGAATCATTTGATGAACATTACTTTGATGATGATATTGATACTTTTGATAAATCAACTTGTGGTCCAAAATATCTTCAACTCGATAGCAACCAGTGCGAATTATTAGATCTTTATTTGGTAGAATTTAATGCATCAGTTTTACCTCATCCAAATCAAATATTTTATGGTCAAAACTTTTTTAATGAAAGTGAAGATTTCTTTTATCTTATAGAAAATGTCAAAGATCGTCCATTCTTTTTAATCGGTTTGCCAAATAAAAAAGAGGATTTATTACGTTGGTTATCTGATCATTATTCAAATGACACTTTAAAACAACTTTCAAGAGTCTATATTATATCACTAGAATCATCAAATTCTGACACAATTGGAGATTTCCTAGAAAAACACGAAGAAGAGCTTACCGTAAAGTGGGGTGACTTCAGTTTATTATATAGGGCAAACTTATTAAATGGTGAGCATTCAACTGGCAAAACATTGTATATAAATACCCAAAAGAAGAATTTTGTTTATAGTTACACATTATTAGTTCGTCCATCAACAGATTATTTAAGACTTTTTAAATACTTAAAAGGTGTTATAAATAGCAACCTTAACAAGGCCGATGTTTTACTTCATATCAACTTATCACCATACACAAATTATTTAGATTTCTATTCTTTTGTATATCCATTAATCACATATGGATTTGTTTATAATCAAGAAACTGGTGATGTTTTGGATATTTCCGAATCAATCAATCTTTCAATTTATGTAGAAATCGGATCACAATTAAAAGTACCAATATATGGATCACCAAAAACATATCTTTCAATATTATATAATAAATCATCAATAATAAACTATTCAATTCCATGGTCCTTCGATCAAGAAGAGTTTTTATGCTTAACATATTCTCAAATTGGTGCAGAGTTCCCAGTTAAAGCACCTCAGCTTATTACAACTATTCCAAATGATCAGTTGGCTGCATTTTTTAACCATGTTCAAACAGTTGTTGGACCAAATGTATCAATTGAATATCTTAAAAATCCAAAATGTAAAAAATATTTAAAGAACTTTATACTATTATTAAATGAACGTTTATTATATCTTCAAGAGTATTTCAGATTTTACATTGAGTTAAAACAACAACTATCAATGGTTCTATTGGTAAAAAATGTCAATCAAGGCGTGGTTATTACACCAAAAGAACTTTATCATTATTTCGTTACAGAGTCAGTTCATTTAGCAAACCCAACACTATGTAGTACTAAAGAAATTTGGAACAACCCACCACTTATTATTTCAAGATCTCTTGAACAGTTTCCTGATGAAAGGGGTATAATGAAATCCATTTTATACTTTAGTTTTATAGATTTTAGAAAAGAGAATGTATTGACATTAGATCAAGTTAATAATTTATTCACACTTCAAAATGCATTTAGTGAAAAGGGTAAATTCTTTGCAGCTATCGCCCATCACTTTGGCATAACTGATCGTTCTTATTTAATTTCAGATCTTTCAAATCAATACAACTATGTCTTAACATTAGATTTCTCACTTCGTCTTTTAATACTTCATGAAAAAATTAAAAATCAAAAATCCTTAATTTTAACTGGTGGTATGTATTTAATTATTTATTTATAGTATAGAAATATTCCAAATTAAAAAATATTAATTTATTTTTTTCACTAGACACTGGTGTTGGTAAAACATATATTTTATTATTTTATTCTGCAATTATAAATGCAAGATATAATATATTACCAGAAATCATGTTCGAATTAAAAGGTTTTTTCAATCAACAAATGAAAAATGAAAAAAATAAAAATGAATTCACATCAACAAAAATCGAGTCAGAAGTAGGTGATTTTATTACAGTATCTAATAAGATTATTGATATCGATAATGATTCAGCAACCAATTTATTCAAAGAATTAACAGGTTTTTCAAGAAATATATTAAAAAATAATCTTATACACAAAAATTCATCACTAGAATGGGTACTCAATAATGAAATTGATTCAAAAGAAAGAACCGAAACTGTATTAAGAGATTTATGCTCAATTAAATTCTGTTGCCTTTTCGAAAGAATTATAATGCATGCAAAATATGATGCATCAGAGTTAAAAGAAAAAATTAGAGCTCTAGAAAAGATGGCACAAAACTTATATAAAATTAATACTTCATTAAGAATGGTTGTTTTTATTGACGAATTCAATACAAGTCCAGATGACTCATTAGCTCTAATCAACGAATTGTTCATCGATGGAACCTTAGATGGCGAGAAACTATCGGTCGATAATATTACATGGATTGGTGCAATGAACCCAAATATCAAAAAAATAACCCCAAACAGTTCAAATTCGATTAACTACACTGGTCAAGAGACAGAATCATCAAAACAAGAGTTTATTGTAAAAGATGCCACTCAATCGATGGAGCAATTATTTTTTGATTTTGGTGAGTTTACTCCAGAGAGTGAAAAAACATTTGTTCAAGCAATGTTTAATAAAATTACAAAAGATAAGAAAATATCACCAGGCAGTGCAAGACATCTTCAAGAGTGTATTCTTATTGGTCAAAACTTTTTAAGAGAAGCTAACCAAGAAAGAACCCATGTATCAATTCGTGATATTGACAGAGCTGTTGATCTTTACCATTTCTTTACACACGACGAATGTGGCATTTCAATTATTAACTGTGGTTCAAAACTCGGATATGATGACACAGAGTTTCACTGGCATGCAATAGTTGTTACTATGTATTTAACTTACATTCTAAGACTAAGTCCAAATGGTCAAAAGAATAAAAGAGAAGATTTAATTAAATTATTTGACGAATATTTACATTCAAGAGAAGACCAAGCCAATCTTTCAATTAAAAATTTCAAAATGATTTTTAGATCAAAATATGAATACCTTTGTCGTAACTACACACTTTTACCAGAGGGTATTGCACTTACACAATCGTTAATGTTAAATATATTTTGTACATTGGTAGCAATCAATACATCAATTCCACTTTGTATTGTAGGGCCACCAGGTTGTTCCAAAACACTCTCATTTTCAATTATTATGGATAATATAAAAATTCCAAAGAACCAACTAGATACCCTTAGTCCATATAACTATATTCCATCATCTGAAGCATTCCGTTATCAATGTACTCCACATACAACTGATATAGAAATCAAATCTAGATTCGAAAAAGCTATTCAAAGAGAAATGGAATTGAAATCTGATAAAAATAAACACAAATGTATTGTTTTTATCGATGAAGCAGGTTTAGTAAACGAAGAAGAATCACCAATGAAAGTATTACATGATTATTTAGATCGTCTGAGTAATAAACTTGGTGAATCAAGTGATAATATTGGTACAGTTATTTTATCCAATAGGATTTTAGATGCCGCCAAAACAAATCGTATGATGGTTTTATTCCATCCAGAATTTCTTTCAGAAGATGATGAAAAAGCCTTGGTAATTGGTTGTTTGTTTAATAATAAGCCATCATTAGAAAATAGAGAAGTTAAAATTTGTGAATCACTATGTGTTTCCTTTAAGAGTGTTAACAAATTCTCAAAATCCACAAAAGAAAATTTATTCCATCAACGTGATTTCGTTTATTTCCTCCGTTTCCTCAGACTTCAATGGTTAAAGAACAAGAAAGATTTAAGCGAAGCATTGTTAGAATCTTTAGAAAGAAACTTTAAAGGTATCCCACAAAAACAATTTGAAGGCTTGGCAAGAATGTTTTATCAAGAATTAGAAAACCACAAAATTAAATTAAATATTCCAGAATCAATTAATTTTGACAATACAATTAACAATATTAAATCTGCACTAAATGAAATAACAGATACCAATCAAAATCCAAACACACTTGCATTCAGATATATTATGGTTATTGACCAATCCGAAAACGAATCATCACTTCAAATATTAAATGAAATTTGTAAAAACAATGACAAACCTCCAGTTTTAATTAGAGTTGGTGGCTTTGAAAGAGACTCATCAGAAGAACTATTGGTAGAATGTGTTAGTAAAATCAAAGCCTCAATGGCCAATGGTGATACAGTTATTCTGGTTAATAGTGAAAAGATAGATTCATGTTTTTATGAAGTATTCAACCGATATTTTATTACAATGCATTCAAATGATAATAAAGATGGTAGAGATTTTATGTCAAATATTTCATTTGGAACTCATTCAAGCTACTGTAAAGTACACCCAGATTTCAAGATTATTATCCATATGCCTCTCTCTAGATTAAAAAACACTCAACTTCCATGGTTAAACAGATTTGAAAAATATAGTCTTTCAATTGATTTACTCACCAAAGAAATTGTAAACAAGAATGATTCGAAATTACAACAATTTGAAAAACTATCTCGTTGTGCAGATCATTTTATTTCAACACTTCATTACTCATGTTCAAATGGCTCATTATTAGCTGGTTTTTCAACCGAAACTAAAACTTCGTTACTCTATAAATTTTTTAAGACAAATGACGAAGAAATATTTGTTGATGACGCTGACAATCAAAGAGTAGAATTTTATAAATCAGATAGTGCACTAGAAGATCAAACAAAAATCAATTTTAAACTTTTACAGATTGCCAGACCAGAATCAATTATTAAATATATTGAATCATTCCCAATCAACTATATTGAAGAATACTTTTTACATCAAGAACATTTAAGTATTGTAAGATTTTTAAGAAATCTTTTTGAATCAAAATATAAACATAACGAAGCAGTTTCAAATAAATGGACAATCTTTACAAGATCATCATTACCTTTATCATCCCTCAAAGATTTAGAAATTAATAGAATTCTATCACAATCTTTATCCGAAGATATTCTTCCAGAAAATTCAATTAAAGTATTACAACTTAACTTTATTAGATCAAGTATTGATTGCGAAACCATCATTAAAGCATTCCAAGAATCTGATGAGCAGGTCTTAATAGTTGTAGCCGATATGGTTTCATGTAATCAAAATCAAATCACATATATATTTGAACTTCTTTCAGAATTAGAAAAATCAAAATTCCTTATTACAATTTATCACTATCCATCAGAATATTCGATTTCAAATCAAATCAAATTGAACTCAATTTTCCTTAGTGAAATGGAGTTCATTTATATTGATTCATTAGGAATTACTTTTGAAAAAGAAAACAATGGAAGTTTTATAGAAAGTGACATTAGAGATTTAATATCAAGATCATGTGGTATTAAAAACGCCCAAGTTAATAACAAATCAATTGAGGAAATTGTAAGAGAAATGTTTTTTGAACAATTAAAATCAATTTCACAAGAATTAATTCCACCGGTCCCACTTATGACGTTTATGAGGGGAGGCAATAAAATCCATCCATTTTATACCTCTTCAAATGAAAGATATAAAATATTATATCAATTATTTACAAACAACACTGACTGGTATGAATCATTTGTTTCAAACTTTACTTCTCATTGGTTAGAGAATAACCTTTTCGAAAAAATTTTATCAAATATTGCAGATTTAATTATTTGTGGTAAAGAATCTCACTCTATTCTCGAAACTATTAAAAGCTCAATGGTTAATTACATCTACCCAACAATCTCAAACATTGTCAAAATTCTTTCAAACTTCTATTCAATCACCTCAATTATAGAAATAGATCAAAAGGTAAACAATACATCTGAAATAGATAAATTAGAATTGGAACTTTATAAATTAAAGAAACTATTGATCAAAGAAATGATTGAATCATCCAAACAACCATATTTTTCAGAAATTCAAATCGATAGAAGATTAGAACCAGTCACCTTAAAACCACCAAAAGTAACAAAACAGTCATTAATTCCATTGTATGACTACTTTGATACTCAATTCTCATACTTTTTTAATAATGTTGTAAACCAAGCAAAATCAAAATCAAAAAAACGTATCTATAACAAAATAAAAAAATTATTGGAGGACCATCCATTAGAAAACTATATACAAGAAATATCAAAATCAGAAATATTATTTGAAATGTTCCAGAAAGATTTCGTTATTAGATCACTAGGTATTAGAGAAGACTTAATAGATATGTTTGTTTCAATTTTGGATATTCTTTTACCATGGGAAATAGATAATGAGAAAATACAAGAAAAAAATACGAAAAAAATCATTCAATACTGGATCATCAAACATTTTAAATCAAATATATTTTTATTTTTAAAGAATATAATCAACCCTATTCTAAACCTTCCAAATAAAGAAAAAGCAATTAAAAAACTTTTCAAAGCAATTAACGATCCATCAAGTGGCATTTCAGAAGGAAATGTTGAAAAGTTAAAGAAATATTTTATTAAAATGACTATTGATATTCTACTTAACCAAATAGATGAAGTTATTAAGAACTATACAGAGGGTGATAAAGATATTATTACATGGTTTAAAGTTGTTAAAGACCTTTTCAATAGAACCAGAGTAGAAGAAATGCTTAAGTCAATAAATCAATACAGTCAATATAACTATAACCAAGCAGAAAACAATGACTGTTTAAATGTTGTTTATCTTCACAATTGTTACCAAATTATCTTAGAAATCTTAGTATTAGACGACAGAATTTCAAAGGAAATGACTCCAGCAATCTTAACAGAATATTTAAAAAAACTCAACACCTTTGATATTGGTGATATTGTAGGTATTTTTAAAAATATCACTGATAGATTCAATGACCAACCAAAACTTTCAAGCTCATTAGAAATTATTAGGCCATTAATTTCTTTAAATATTGATAATTTAAAAAAATTTTTAACTTTAGTTGATGAGGGCAAATTACCATTAGGTTGGAGTGCAGTTATTTTAAAAGATCTTTTAAAGAATAGACAATATAGACCATTTTTAGAAAAAGAATTTAATTCATCCTATGAAGTTTCATATGTAACATCTGGACCAATTCCATCGATTTCAGATATTAAAGATAACATCTCATCTATTATACCATCAAATTACAATATAAATACTCAAGCAATCAAAGATTTACCATCAAATAAAAAAGTTATCGATATTCTTTTCAATATTTATCTTGAAGAATTCTACAATCAATCTAGTCAAGTCGAAAAACACTTTTCAAAAATTCTAGTACTTCAAGAAACTGAAATTTTAAAAGCAGAGGATCAAAAAGATAAAATCAAATTTACTACTATTGACAAAATTAAACTTTCTTCATACTCTTGTTTGTTTTTAAATTATTTATCGGAACAATTTAAACAAAATATCGATGATTTGGAATCCAAAATTTTAAATCTAATAGAAGGAAAAGAGATTCAAAAAATATTGAATTCAATTTTAAACAACAAGGTAAAACCAATTCAATCAATTTTATATCAAGTTTATTTATTCAGTAGAATCGTAAATGAACAATGCCTGTTAAAATTATTTGCTTCCCAAAAAATATTAAAATGTTTAGGTCTTTCAAATTATCACAACTCCTTTGTTTTACCACCCACAAACAAAGATGAATACTACAACCTTCCATTTGAATATGATGTATCTTTAGAAGAATATCAAACATTTACAACAATTTATAATTTGTTAATAGCCAAAGATATCACTCAACTAAAGAAGTTTATAATGGATGAAGAACATAACAACCCCAAATCAAAAGGTTTAATAAGAATGATTTTATTTGTTTTATCATATAGATTCTATTTAAGCAAACAAAAAGAACAAACAGATCTATTACTATTAACCATTCAAGATAACACAATTGTAGAAAGAATTTCACTCGCTCCATATATTGATAGCTACCTTAAAATATTAAATACAACATTTAATGATAAATATCATATTGATAGAATTTTAAAGAATCCAGTCAAAGATCAACTTTCTACCAGCATTACAGTTATAAACTACATTGCCCTCTCAATTGGTACAGATCAAAGTCACCTTTCATTATTTTTACGTTCAAAACAACCAAGTGATGAAACTGATCCCTTTTTGGTAAATATTGGTCAACATAAAATATTCCCACCTGGATTCGCACTCATTGATTGTAATGTCATAAACACCCCTGGTGTTACAAGAAAGTTAGATTTCCATTTATTGGTATCCTCAACATGGTGTGTGATTGCATATGCATGCTCTTTAAGAAATTTAGAACATTCTTATTTCAACAATCTTCATTTTATCAACTATCCACAGGATGCAGACAACTCTTCTGACTATACATTTGCTAGAGGCTATAACTCCATTCTTGATATAGAAACTGATAAAACCTTATCATCATCTCTTATTGATCCACACATGTTCATTTCATTGAATCTATTCAAAATTTGGAAAAATTCTTTCGATCCACAATATCAAATGGTATCAAGCTTTAATCCAAACAATGTTATTACCTACACTAACAATATCCGTAGTTGGTTAGAAAAACTTATTTTAGATTTTAGCGAAATTAAACATAATATCAACGATCAAATATCAAAATCATCAACCCAATTAAAAAATCTATCTATTATTCGTGGTACATTTTCAAAAACAAATCAATTAATTTTATTAAGCGATGAACAACTCCATCAACTTGTTGCATCAAAGGAAAATGAATACCTTCCAATCAAAACATTTGTTTCAGAAATTGAAAAGATTTGTTTGTCAAAGTATTTTATTACCATTATTAAATTCCTTGACTGCTTTTATAAACTTTGTTCAAATAGAATTCCGGAAGAGTACCTTGGTAAATCAGTCAAAGATTGTATTGGGTTTTTAATTGCAAATAAATATGAAACCGAAGATTCAACTGCAGAACTTTTCAACATCTACAATCAACTTATAGAAAACTGGGTGGTCATCAAAAACAAATTAACAATCGATGTATGTAGAAGAGGATTGTACGCCGAAAGTGAAATACCAGAGATTACAATTGATACTCCCCTTTTAGCATTGGTTTCAGATGGTAAATCAGTTGGTTGGTTAAAAAATGTAATTGACAAATGGTTAGAAAATACCCAAGCATCAATCATAAACTCCTGCTTAACCAACAATAACCTTTCACCAGTTATTCAATCGATTGTCGAAAGCTTTGGAAGAGAAAACAAGTTTGATATTGCAAATATACCACTAGGTGTCGTAGATGAAAATGTTTTACTTGGTTCAAGTTATTCCCCAGAAGATTTCTATAACTTTTGCCATCTTCAAATCGCACAATTCTTTTCATATAATAAACATGAATTTGAATCATCAATCGATTGGGTTTCATTTTTAAACAACTTGACAATAACATTTATCTATGGAAAAGTTGCTGAAGGTCAATTAAAAACTTATGGTGGTAAATTCCCATGTATCCAACCAGTTGGAACATCTAGTGATCAAGACTCAACACTAAACAGCACTGCATTCTCCGAACCTGAATTTATTAAAGAATTAAAAGATTTAGTTAAAATTCAGAAGATTTCAAAATTAAAAATAGATTTAGATAAGAGTGTAGAAATCAAACTTAGAACGAGATGTAAATCAAAATTAAATCAGTATCAACTAGAAACAATTGCAAGGTATTTAATCGGCCTATTAGCAAAGATCAACAATCATTCAGATATAAACAGTATTTATGAATCAAATTTAATATCATTCTATCCAACAGATGATTCAAAATTAGATCATACTATTAAAGAACTTTTACCATTGGTACAAATTAAAATGGTCTCATCATTCACCAAAACATTTATAAGTACATACTCTGGTTTTAGATATTATTACTCAAGTATTATGGCAGATCCAATCGAAACAAATCCCAAATATTTCGATCAATTTAAATCCATTCAAGATAAAATATTAAAAGATTGCTATGAAGAAAAAAAAATTAATATTATAAGAATAAATATGTGGATTGAATATATTAGTCAAGCAATTCAAAAGATTTGTAACAATGACTCTAAAGTCTTTATTTCAAATTCACAACCCGACCACCCACTTTGTAAGCTATTCACTAACAAAAAATTATCGCTCTCAGATATAGCCTCACCCTCAACCTTATTCAATATTTTTAATGAAGTCAAAGCTGAAACCCCTTTTAACTATTTTGCAACATTTATGGGTACACTTCAGGACACATTATCAATTCTCTATATCAAACTAGACAGCAAAGAATCAACCAATGATATCATCGTTGAATTTGTTGAGCTTACTGAAAAAGATTTAGAAAACATTATTATAAAAAAAAGACCCCCACCAAAGAAAAAGAAGACCAGAGCAAACAAAAACAAACCATATATAAATACCTATCAAAATAAAATAGAAACTGAAATCATCCAAAAAGAAGAAATCGCTGAAAACAACAATCAAAAAGATTTAAATGATGAAGTCAATGAAGAAGATGATGAATCATTATCCATTGGTAGAAGATTGGTCTCAAACAATGGCTTTGATTTCTTAGTCAACATATTCAACCTTATTATCTTTAATGGCTTTGATGTCTTTAACATTGAATATACTTCAAAACTTTACCCATATATTCAAATGTTTAAGAAAGAAGTCAATAATAAGATCAAAGATCCATTTGATATAGATCAATTCTTTGATGTATTAAAGGACCAAAGCCCACTATTAAATCAAGTTACAAAAGATAACCCAATGAACCCATATATAATTCTATATGAAATTTTAAATACTTTCGAATATAATGGTTGTAAAGAATCAGTTGCAAAGAAATTATTTGACGGAGAAACTATTGATATCTGTAGCAAATGTAAAAAAGCCTCAAAACCATCAACAAAGCAATTCAATTTTACTATAGATGTCGAAGAAACTTATCTTGATGATGAAATTTTAAATGAAATTAAAAACAAATTAGATTCAGAACCTCTTAAAGAGTAAGTCATTATATATTATAAAAAAATATTTAGAAATTTGTATTTATAACTTATTAATTTTATTTTTAAAGCTGTGACAAATGTAAAAAGACTACTTTAGCCTATAATTTCCTTGATGCTGTTCCAGAATGTCTTTCAATTGAAATCAATAGAATCCATAATGGGGATATCAAGTATAAAAGATTCAATAATCCTAAAGAAATAGATCTTACCAGTTGTTTCCATAAATGTAGTGATGCTAAATACTATCACCATTCAACCCTTGTATGTATTTTTAACCTTATTATAAATATCAATTCATTTAAACTAACAATTTTACTTATAACTTTTAGATGAATGATGGATCAATTCATATTAGTTCTAATAACAAAATAATCAGATCAACAAACAAATCACAATTTAGCTATATTGATGAAAGTGAACGTTATAAAGAAGAACCATTAATCAGCACATTATTAATTTATAAAAAATATAACAACTCAAATAGCAATGATAATATTAACAATAACAATAGCAACAATAATAGTGAAAATGAAAATGATAATGATAATGAAAACAAATTCAACGATAATGAAGAAACAAACCTCCCAAAACTAGATTGCAACAATTCTGAAAACCTAACCATAGATCAAGTTATAGAACTTTATGATGATCACCTTTTAGTGTGGTTGAGTAATTTAAAAATGGAAAGCAAACATATTATTTCCATTACCAAACTCTTCGAGAAAAAAGAAATTACAAAATTCTCTGATATTCTCTACTTGAATGAAAATGACTGGATAGATATCATCTCATCCGTCCCATTAAGAAATGCATTTTTAAAATACCTCAAATTAATTAAAGATTAAATTAAAATTAAAAAAAAAAAATTAAATAAATAACTTTTATAATATTCTAAAAAATAAAACATTTAAAATTCTTTATTGGTTGTCTTTTAATTTTCTTTAAACTCAACCAGGAAATGTATAGAGGGTTTAGTAACTGTTAATTATTATTTAAAAAAAATCTCTTAAAAAAAAATATTTAAAATAAAACATTTAAAAAAAAGTCATCAAAAAAAATAATAAAAGAAATATTTTTTTAAAAACAAAAAAATTTAAAAAACTTTGAGTTGGATAAATAATATTACAAACTTCATGGAGGAAAACCTTATTTATATTTTCTTTACCTTGAATTTAATAACCATACCACACTTATAACAAGTCCTTTTTAGGAATTTGAAATTAATCATTAAGAGCATCAAAACCAATTTTATATATCATTATTTTTTTCGTTACTGTTATTATTGTTTTGGTTATTATTGGTTTTTTCTTTTTTTTTTTTTATTATTTTATGATTAAATAAATAAATAAAAAAAATTTAATAAAATCCAAATTTTTTTTTTTTGGGCAATTCTCAACACCAAATTTTAATATAAATTATCAAAATTTTTTATAAAAATTTATAAAAAAATTAAAAAAAAGAAACCAAAAATGTTTTTTTTTTTTTATATTAAAAATATTCCTCTTTTTTCAAAAAAATTAAAACATAGTGGGGGTTTTAATAAAAATTTTATAATAAATGTGGTGTTTTAAAAATACCTCATAAAACATCAGTAAAAATTTAAAAAATTAATTTTTTTTTAAAATTTTTTTTTTCTATTTACTTTAATTTTTCACAACAGAATTAAATATTGTATTTAATTTTTTTTATTAATACAAAAAATATTATATGATAAATAAATAATCAAACTAATAAATAAAAAAAATAAAAAAAAAAGAAAATAAAAAAATAAATAAAAACTAAACCAATTAAATTATTTGAATAGTTTATATATTCAAATAAATAAAAAATGGGAAAAAATAAACAAAAAGAAAGTCGGGTTGCAATTAACAACCACAATGATAATGATAGCAATAACAGTGGTAATAAAGGTTATGATGATTGTAATAATAATAATATAATTTTAATAAAAGATGTTCGTGATACCTTGGATATTTAACTCTACTCCTTATGCCTTTTGAAAAAGAATTTGGATTTTCTTCCCGATCTTCGAAAGATTTTGCATAAAAACTCAAATAAAAGATGATGGTCATCGGACAGTTTCAAGAAAATTCTCTTAGGTCGTTTCTCATAAACAAAAGTGAAACTAGTTTATTTACGTGTCTAATTGCAAAAAAATTAGTAGAGCCAATGGTTAAAGATATGCAACCATTTCATTATTTTGCCTAAGCATTTTTTAAATACCCTTAAACAGTAAATATTAAAGGTAATACTTTTTGGGTCGAGGATTTTGAAGAATTAATGGAATCAAAAGAAATTGTAAGTTTAATGATTTTATAAAAAAATTATTGTATTATAGAGTCTAATATAAATCTTCAATTAATTTTATAGATTAAAAAAAAATTACTTGAAAAGTCTGAAGAAATAGCATTAAATGATGTAAATTTGACAATATAAGTTACTCAGCTATATCAAAAACTTTAAAATCATATTTCAACACGGAAATTACACCTGCCAACGTCATTGATAAACTTAATAAATTAGATAGTTTCATCTCAGAGACTAAATCAAACTAAGATTTCTTTAAAAATTCAATTGGCAAATTTAGAGGACCATATCAAAAACATCAAAGTCATAGGGTACATCGACACTTTAAATGATAGCTCAATAGCAACATTGAAATATTTTGTAATCGAAGACTCTCAGTTTTTCAAAATTGTTTTCAACCACTATAAAGATAGTAGCAACTCATTAAATGAAATCTGCAGGATTTCCCAACAGTTTATAATTGGTTTATCAAATATGAACACTGACTTAAATTTAAATTGTGAGTTAAAAAGTATATAGAAGAAGTAATTTCTATTTTCTGTATTCAAAGTAACTATCATTCAATTTTAACCTTCTTTGAAAAGAACTCATTTATTAGAATCAATGATTTAAAGAAATCTCATACCGAAATTGATCAACTTTTAAACCCAATTAAATCAAACGAAATCAATTATATTTCATTAATATCAACAAAGAGTAAAATCGAACTAATGATTGGTAACCTTACATATCATCACCAGTTTTAAATCCAATTGTTTTATATTACAAAAGAGCTAACAATGACCACACTTCACATTCTTTCACCAAGTATTGTTCAAAAATGCGAGCTTTATTACCAAATTCTCAAAAAGATAGTGACAATCTTTTAATCAAAATGAAGTCACTTCAAGAAAATATCCCACATCTAAAGTCATTATACAGTGGTGCAGGTAGTGTTATTACTCTTCCAAGATTATCAGATATACTCCGTAACTCTACTTTTAAATCCTCTATGGAAAATGGTAGCTACACATGGTCTGTAAAAGTTGAAAAGTTTGAATATAACCAAGATATTTTAGAAGAGACTATTTGTGGTTTAAGATTAAATTCTGGTGAAATCAAAGAACCAACACAACAGCAAACTTTTAAAGATTATCAATTGTTACACTCGCTATTAAAATCAATACATAAGAGCCACATAGAATTAGTCAAAATGTTCCACCATGATTTTTTAAATGGAGTATTAAAAATCAAAATCAATCAATCACTAAATGATGTTCAACTAAAAAATGATGAATTAAAATCAAAAATTGAAGAGTGGAAAGAGTTAACAAATTCACTTTCAAATAGAACTAGACTATTATGAAATCAACGTATCATCATTGTTTACATCTATTATACATTTCTTAAATAATAATAATAATGGCAATAGCAATAAAGACCAGTCTTCAAAATTAACAAATATTTTATACCATTATGTTAAGTTTTGTTATTCAAAACCAAATAAAGTTTCAATATCATCCATTAAGCAAATAATAGAACTTCATTTTGGAGAGGAAGACTTTGTTGGAAGAATTATTAAAGAAGGTGGTGGTTTAAATATTTTATCAGTGAGAAATTTTATTTCTACACTCTTCAAATCATTTGATGAACATTACTTTGATGATGATATTAATACATTTGATAAATCAACTTGTGGTCCAAAATACCTTCAACTCGATAGCAACCAGTGCGAATTATTAGATCTTTATTTAATGGAATTTAATACATCAGTTCTACCTCATCCAAATCAAATATTTTATGGTCAAAACTTTTTTAATGAAACTGAAGATTTCTTTTATCTATAGAAAATGTCAAAGATCGTCCTTTCTTTTTAATCGGTTTGCCAAATTAAAAAAGAGGATTTATTACGTTGGTTATCTGATCATTATTCAAACGACACTTTAAAACAACTTTCAAGAGTCTATATTATATCACTAGAATCATCAAATTCTGACACAATTGGAGATTTCCAGAAAAACACGAAGAAGAGCTTACTTTAAAGTGGGGTGACTTCAGTTTATTATATAGGGCAAACTTATTAAATGGCGAACATTCAACTGGCAAAACATTGTATATAAATACCCAAAAGAAGAATTTTGTTTATAGTTACACATTATTGGTTCGTCCATCAACAGATTATATTAGGCTTTTTAAATTTTTCAAAGGTATTATAAATAGCAACAGTAAAAAGGCCAATGTATTACTTCATATCAACCTATCACCATACACAAATTATTTAGATTTCTATTCTTTTGTATATCCATTAATCACATATGGATTTGTTTATAATCAAGAAACTGGTGATGTTTTAGATATTTCTGAATCAATCAATCTTTCAATTTATGTAGAAATCGGATCACCATTAAAAGTACCAATATACGGATCACCAAAAACATATCTTTCAATATTATATAATAAATCATCAATAATAAACTATTCAATTCCATGGTCCTTCGATCAAGAAGAGTTTTTATGCTTAACATATTCTCAAATTGGTGCAGAGTTCCCAGTTAAAGCACCTCAGCTTATTACAACTATTCCAAATGATCAGTTGGCTGCATTTTTTAACCATGTTCAAACAGTTGTTGGACCAAATGTTTCAATTGAATATCTTAAAAATCCAAAATGTAAAAAATATTTAAAGAACTTTATACTATTATTAAACGAACGTTTATTATATCTTCAAGAGTATTTCAAATTTTACTTACAGTTAAAACAACAACTATCAATGGTTTTTTTGGTAAAAAATGTTAATCAAGGTGTGGTTATTACACCAAAAGAACTTTATCACTATTTCGTCACTGAATCAGTTCATTTAGCAAACCCAACACTATGTAGTACTAAAGAAATTTGGAACAACCCACCACTTATTATTTCAAGATCTCTTGAACAGTTTCCAGATGAAAGGGGTATAATGAAATCCATTTTATACTTTAGTTTTATAGATTTTAGAAAAGAGAATGTATTGACATTAGATCAAGTTAATAATTTATTCACACTTCAAAATGCATTTAGTGAAAAGGGTAAATTCTTTGCAGCTATCGCCCACCACTTTGGAATAACTGATCGTTCATATTTAATTTCAGATCTTTCAAATCAATACAACTATGTCTTAACATTAGATTTCTCACTTCGTCTTTTAATACTTCATGAAAAAATTAAAAATCAAAAATCCTTAATTTTAACTGGTGGTATGTATATAATTTTTATTTATAGTATAGAAATATTCCAAATTAAAAAATACTAATTAATTTTTTTCACTAGATACTGGTGTTGGTAAAACTATAGGTTAATAACAAATCAATTGAAGAAATTGTAAAAGATATGTTTTTCGAACAATTAAAATCAATTTCACAAGAATTAATTCCACCGGTCCCACTTATGACTTTTATGAGGGGAGGCAATAAAATACATCCATTTTATACCTCTTCAAATGAAAGATATAAAATATTATATCAATTATTTAAAAACAACACTGACTGGTATGAATCATTTGTTTCAAACTTTACTTCTCATTGGTTAGAAAATAACCTTTTCGAAAAAATATTATCAAATATTGCAGATCTAATTATTTGTGGTAAAGAATCTCACTCTATTCTCGAAACCATTAAAAGTTCAATGATTAATTATATCTACCCAACAATCTCAAACATTGTCAAAATTCTTTCAAATTTCTATTCGATCACCTCATTTATTGAAATAGATAAAATGGTAAACGGCTCTGCTGAAATAGATGCATCAGAATTAGAACTATATAAATCAAAGAAACTATTGATCAAAGAAATGATTGAATCATCCAAACAACAATATTTTTCAGAAATTCAAATAGATAGAAGATTAGAACCAGTCACCTTAAAACCACCAAAAGTAACAAAACAGTCATTAATTCCATTGTGTGACCACTTTGATATTCAATTCTCATACTTTTTTATTAATATTGTAAACCAATCAAAATCAAAATCAAAAAAACATATATATCTATTAATAAAAAAAACATTGATAGACCATCCATTAGAACACTATATACAGGAAATATCAAAATCAGAAATATTATTTGAAATGTTCCAGAAAGATTTCGTTATTAGATCACTGGGTATTAAAGAAGACTTAATAGATTTATTTGTTTCAATATTAGATATTCTTTTACCATGGGAGATAGATAATGAGAAAACACATGAAAAGAATACGAATAAAATCATTCTATATTGGATCATCAAACACTTTAAATCAAATATATTTTTATTTCTAAAGAATATAATCAATCCTATTCTAAACCTTCCAAATAAAGAAAAAGCAATTAAAAAACTTTTCAAAGCAATTAAAGATCCATCAAGTGGCATTTCAGAAGGAAATATTGAAAAGTTAAAGAAATATTTTATTAAAATGACTATTGATATTCTACTTAACCAAATAGATGAAGTTATTAAGAACTATACAGAAGGTGATGAAAATATTATTACATGGTTTAAAGTTGTAATTTATAAACAACATTTAAACAGTCATTGTTTTCTGATTGGTAATAGTTATATTGACTATACTGATTTATTGACTTAAGCATTTCTTCTAATCTGGTTCTATTGAAAATGCTTAATGACTGTTTAAATGTTGTTTATCTTCACAATTGTTACCAAATTATCTTAGAAATCTTAGTATTGGATGATAGAATTTCAAAGGAAATGACTACAACAATCTTAACAGGATATTTAAAAAAATTCAAAACCTTAGACATTTGTGATATTGTTGATACTTTTAATAAAATATCTGATAGATTCAATGACCAACCAAAACTTACAAGCTTGTTAGAAATTATTAGGCCATTAATTTCTTTATATATCGATAATTTAAAACAATTTTTAACATTAGTTGATGAAGGAAAATTACCATTAGGTTGGAGTGCAGTTATTTTAAAAGATCTAATAATAGAAAACTGGGCAATAATCAAAGACAAATTAATAATCGATGAATGTAGAAGAGGTTTGTACGCCGAAAGTGAAATAACAGTAATTGATAAATGGTTAGAAAATACCCAAGCATCAATCATAAACTCCTGCTTAACCAACAATAACTTTTCACCAGTTATTCAATCGATTGTCGAAAGCTTTAGAAGAGAAAACAAATTTGAAATTCCTAATATACCATTAGGTGTCGCAGATGAAAATGTTTTACTTGGTTCAAGTTATTCGCCAGAAGAATTCAATAGATTTTACCATCTTCAATTGTGCGCACAATTCTTTTCATATAACAAACATAAATTTGAATCATCAATCGATTGGGGTTCATTTTTAAACAACTTAACAATAACATTTATCAATGGAAAAGTTGCTGAAGGTCAATTAAAAACTTATGGTGGTAAATTCCCATGTGTCCAACCAGTTGGAACATCTAATGATCAAGACTCAACACTAAACAGCACTGCATTCTCCGAACCTGAATTTATTAAAGAATTAAAAGATTTAGTTAAAATTCAGAAGATTTCAAAATTAAAAATAGATTTAGATAAGAGTGTAGAAATCAAACTTAGAACGAGATGTAAATCAAAATTAAATCAGTATCAATTAGAAACAATTGCAAGGTATAAGCTGTGACAAATGTAAAAAGAAAACTTTAGCCTATAATTTCCTTGATGTTGTTCCAGAATGTCTTTCAATTGAAATCAATAGAATCCATAATGGTTATACCCTGATTAAAAAATTCAATAACCCTAAAGAAATAGATCTTACCAGTTGTTTCTATAAATGTAGTGTGCTAAATACTATCATCATTCAACCCTTGTATGTATTTTAACCTTATTATAGAAATTAATTGATTTAAACTAACAATTTTTTACTTATAACTTTTAGATGAATGATGGATCAATTCATATTAGCTCTAAAAACAAAATAATCAGATCAACTAATAAATCACAGTTTAGCTATATTGATGAAAATGAACGTCATAGAGAAGAACCATTTATCAGCATATTATTGATTTATAAAAAATATAACAGCTCAAATAGCAATGATAATATTAATAATAACAATAGCAATAATAATAATAGTGAAAATGATAATGAAAACAAATTAAACGATAATGAAGAAACAAACCTCATATTCTCTACTTGAATGAAAATGACTGGAGAGAAATCATCTCATCCGTCCCGTTAAGAAATGCATTTTTAAAATACCTCAAATTAATTACAGATTAAAGATTAAATTAAAATTAAAAAAAAAAAAAATTAAATAAATAGCTTTTATAATATTCTAAAAAAATAAAACATTTAATATTATTTATTTGTTGTCTTTTAATTTTCTTTAAACTCAACAGTTACCAAACCTCGATACATTTCACAAATTAAATTTTATTATTGGTGTGATAATAAAATAAAAAAAATTAAAAAAATTAAAAAAAAAAATTAATTTTTGGCTTGTGTGCTTTTTTAAAAATAATAGGGGTTAATTTAAGTTAAAAAAATAAAATTGTTGTTTATTATAAAATATCTAATTTAATCATTCCAATAATTATTTATAAAAAAAAATCGCAAAAAAGCAGATCAAACACGTTTTTCTTTTTTTCTTTAATTTTTTATTTTATTTTTTTTATTATAAGAATTCCTCATTTTTCAAAAAAATTAAAACTTAGAGAGAGGTTTTTAAAATTATAGACTTAGGGTGTTCTAAAAATACCCACCCGCCCCCCCCAAAAAAAAAATAAAAAAGAAAATTGATAATATTAATATTTAATATTTAATTTTTATAATTTTTTTTTTGGTTTATTATTTTTTTTTTTCACACAACAAAATTCAACAATTAGTTATAAAGTTTTTGTATATAGTAAATTATAAATCTATCAATTAATAATAAATAAATAATAAATAATAAATTAATAAATTAATAAATAAATAAATTAATAAATAAATAAATAAAAAAAAAAAAAAATAAAAAAAAAAATAAAAAAATTAAAACAATTAATTTAAATAGTTTAAATAAATCAAATAAAAAAATGGGAAAAAATAAACAAAAAGAAAGTCAGGAGGTTGCAGTTGACTATCACAATGATAATACCAATGAAAGTGATGGCAATAGTGATAATAATCAAAGTCAAAATGACAACAATAATAGTGATAAAAATAATGGTGATTTAAATACTAGTACAAGTGGCATTTCTACTTTTCCTTTGAACCATGATAATGTCAATGAAAGTGATGGCAATAGTGATAGTAATCCAAATCAAAATGATAGCAATAATAGTGATAATAATAATGGCGGTTTATATACCAGCACAAGTGGCATTTCCACTTTTCCTTTGAACCATAGTAATATTGTTACTACCAATATTTTTTTTAATAATAATAAAGGTGATATTGATAATGATAATGATAATGATAATAATTATAATTATAATAATAGTAATAATAATAATAATAATAATAATAATAATAATAATAATAGTTTAGAAATATCATTAAATGATAACTATATTGAAACTTTTAATAATAATAATAATAATAATAGTTATAATTATTACAGCCAACAATTCAACGGTTTCCCAGAAATTGGGGTTGTTGTTGGCGGTTATGGTGAAAATAAAAGACAAGAAATGTTTTCAGAAATTGGTCCAGTTGGACAGTATCTTTATGATGAAAAGACAAAATTGGCACATTTTGAATTCCAAAAGGATGCTGAAAGAGCTTTTAAAGATTATAGTATGGGGGAGGGCAGATCTTTAAGAGAAAACTATGCTATATCAGTAGGTCAAAATAATAATGGTGGTTTAAATACTAGTACAAGTGGCATTTCTTCTTTTCCTTTGAGCTATGATATTATCAATGAAAGTAATGGCAATAGTGGTATTTATCAAAATCAAAATGACAGCAATAATAGTGATGGTAATAATGGTGGTTTATATACTAGTACAAGTGGCTTTTCCACTTTTCCTTTGAACCATAGTAATATTGTTAATCCCAATATTTTTTTAAATAATAATAATAAAGGTGATAAAAATAAAAATAATAAAAATAATAATAATAATAATTATAATAATAATAATAATAATAATAATAATAAAATTTATAATGATAATGGTGTTAATTATGAGAATATTAAAAATAAAGATAATGGTCCAGAAAAAATCAGAGAAAGTTATGGTGATTGGGACTTCCTAACAGGTAGTAGTCAAGCCAAACAAAAACAAGGGGATGCAATAGCATCAAATGAAAAACTATATACAAATGATCAAGCTACAACAAACACTATTTTTCAATTGGAGATGCTAAATGATGCCACTTATTTCTTTGAAAAACCACATATTATTATAAGTGAACACCAGGCTGAAAACAAAACGGAGGCTATAAAATCGCAATTGGCAAAATATGGCAAAAAATTTAAATCATTATTTCCTGGCCAGCCAAGTGTTTTATATTTAGGTCCCGTTAATGACACATGGATTTTAAATAGTACCAAAATGCAGGTACCACCAAAGCTTGATATTAAAACCGATCCACATAGAGGTCTTTGGTTTTTAATTGGTAGAGCATCGTAAGTTAAAGTTTAAAGTTTAACACCTATTACACAAAAATAAATACTAATACTAAAAATTTTAATTAATATTTTTAGAACAATTACTTGTTTTCGTGATGATGTTAATGAAGTTCTTTTATCAATGGTAAACTCTTTAATTACGAGTGGAATTCCACTTTGGGATGAAAATATCAAGGTTAATGAGGTAAAGAATTTGTATATTCAATTTATTAAGTCTTTGATTGAATTTAAGTATAATGAAAGGGTCATTGCTTATTTCATTTTAAATTCATTTGATCAAACTGGAGATTACAAAAGGATTGGTGTGGAAGAGGATTTTATTTCGAATATCCATAATTACCATGATTTTATTGAATTGTTCCCAATAATCAAAAATAAAATCAGATTCTTAACTATTTTTTTCAAATATTCGGGATTGGATGGTAAAGGTGATTTTTTAAAAAGAAATGTATCCATGATTTTCCAAATTTATGATAATATGGATAAAAATGAAATAACCTCTTTTTTAAACTCTTGGATAAATAAAGAATTATGTTTTGAAATGCAATACCCAAGGCTAGTATTTTTTAAAGCTTTAGTTTCCACCTATATCGGCCTAAAAAACCAATTTTACAACAATCCAATTAATAAGTTAATTAACTTTTTAATTAAAAATGAACGACCATCTTTCGATTTACTTAAGAACCATAGTATTTTCAACAAAATCAACTATGAAGTTACCTCATTAAAAGAAGAAGATTTATTAGAGTAAATTTTTATTATTTTTTTTTTTTTTATTTTAATTTTTTATTATTTATAAATTCAATATTAAAATTCATATTAATTTATATTTTAATTTATAGAACCATTAAATTAAATGAAAAAGTATTAATTTGTGACAAAGTTTTAAAACAAAGTATTTCAAAAATTAAAGATCATCATTTTTTCATCCAATTGTTCCAACTTGGATCAAGTAATAATGATTTAATTAGTGATGCTAAAAAGTATTCATTGACTAATATTCACAAAGATTTTAGACTTTTTTTAATATTCACTTCATTACACCCAAAAATGGAAGATTTATCAGTATCCCAGTTAAATTTACCCCAGATAAATATACCCAAACAACTTGATGATTTTGTAGAATTGTTCAAAGAGTGCGAAAGACAGCAAAATTTCTTCTCAAATGGCAAGAGTAGGGATAATTATCCAAAGTATTACGAACTTGGTGTTTTTTTAATCAGTCAATATCAAGAAAATTTATTTAAGAAATTTCTCTTAAAAAATGAAACAGGTTTATTTAATTTTTTGGTTGCAAAAAAATTAGTAGAACCAATAGTTAAAGATATGCAACCTTCTCATTATAGTGCCAATGTTTTAATATACCTTTCATCAGTAAATATCGGAGAGAGTATTGATTGGATAGAAGATTTTACAGAATTAATGGGTTCAAGGGATACTGTAAGTAGTTTGTTTATTTTATCAAAAATTTATTGTATAATAAAATCTAATATAAAAATTAAATCTATTAAATAGATTAAAAACAAATTAATTGAAAAGTCTGAAGAAATTGCATTAAATGATGTATATTTTGAAAAGTCAAGTAAAATATACTCCGCAATATCAAAATCTCTCGAAACATATTTCGAAACGGTGATTACACCCGCCAAAGAATTAAATGATTCATACATGATGAGTAAAAGTGAAATAGATAAACTTAAAAAATTGGATGATTTCATCTCAGAGACATTCGAAATAAAGAAATATGGTCCCCCAAATTTAAATCAAACAAAGATTTCTTTAAAAACTCAATTGGCAAATTTAGAGGACGATATCAAAAAGGTTAAAGTAAATGGGTACATCGACACTTTAAATGATAGCTCAATAGCAATATTGAAATATTTTGTAATCAAAGACTCTCAGTTTTTCAAAATTGTTTTCAACCACTATAAAGATAGTAGCAGTTCATTAAATGAAATCTGTAGTATTACCCAACGGTTTTTAACTAGCTTATCAAAGATGAACAAAGACTTAAATTTAAATTGTGAGATTTTTAAACAACTTTCAAAAAATACAATTAACTTAAAAAAAGAAATAGATATACTTTGTGATTATTATAGAGTAGGTCAGTTAAAGGTAGATGACTTTAAAAAGTATATCGAAGAAGTCATTTCTCTATTCAGTATTCAGAGCAACTATCATTCAATTTTAAACTTCTTTGAAAAGAACCATTTTATTAGAATTAATGATTTAAAGAAATCTCAAACCGAAATAGACCAACTTTTAAACCCAATTAAATCAAACGAAATCAATTATAATACATCAATTTCAACAAAGAGTAAAATAGAGCAAATGATTGGGAACCTTACATACCATCATATTCCATTCTTTTCAAACATTGAAAGAGAATTGATAGAGTTTTTTGCAGGCTTCAAAGATGAAAAACACTTTTATGAAAGAACAACAATTATATCTACCAACTGTATTGAAACTCTAAGTTCAAGTCTAATGGATTATGCATTAAAATTGGCACCAGTTTTAAACCCAATTGTTTTGGATTACAAAAGATCTAACAATGACCACACTTCACATTCTTTAGCTGAGTATTGTTCAAAAATGCGAGCTTTATTACCAAATTCTCAAAAAGATAGTGACAATCTTTTAATTAAAATGAAGTCACTTCAAGAAAATATCCCACATCTAAAGTCATTATACAGTGGTGCAGGTAGTGTTATTACTCTTCCAAGATTATCAGATATACTCCGTAACTCTACTTTTGTATCCACTATGGAAAATGGTAACCATACATGGTCTGTAAAAGTTGAAAAGTTTGAATATAACCAAGATATTTTAGAAGAGACTATTTGTGGTTTAAGATTAAATTCTGGTGAAATCAAAGAACCAACACAACAGCAAACTTTTAAAGATTATCAATTGTTACACTCGCTATTAAAATCAATACATAAGAGCCACATAGAATTAGTCAAAATGTTCCACCATGATTTTTTAAATGGAGTATTAGAAATCAAAATCAATCAATCACTAAATGATGTTCAACTAAAAAATGATGAGTTAAAATCAAAAATTGAAGAGTGGAAAGAGTTAATAAATTCGCTTTCAAATAGAATTAGACTATTAAGAAATCAACGTATATCATCATTGTTTACATCTATTATACATTTCTTAAATAATAATAATAATGGCAATGGTAATAAAGACCAGTCTACAAAATTAACAAATATTTTATACCACTATATTAAGTTTTGTTACTCAAAATCAAAAAAAGTTTCAATATCATCCATTAAGCAAATAATAGAACTTGATTTTGGAGAGGAAGACTTGGTTGGAAGAATTATTAAAGATGGTGGTGGTTTAAATACTTTATCGGTAAGAAATTTTATTTCTACACTCTTCAAATCATTTGATGAACATTACTCTGATGATGATATTAATACATTTGATAAATCAACTTATGGACCAAAATACCTTCAACTCGATAGCAATCAGTGCGAGTTTTTAGATCTTTATTTAGCTGAATTTAATACATCAGTTCTACCTCACCCAAATCAAATATTTTATGGTCAAAACTTTTTTAATGAAAGTGAAGATTTCTTTTATCTTATAGAAAATGTCAAAGATCGTCCATTCTTTTTAATCGGTTTGCCAAATAAAAAAGAGGATTTGTTACGTTGGTTATCTGATCATTATTCTAATGACACTTTAAAACAACTTTCAAGAGTCTATATTATATCACTAGAATCATCAAATTCTGACACAATTGGAGATTTCCTAGAAAAACACGAAGAAGAACTTACTGTTAAATGGAGTGACTTCAATTTATTATATAGGACAAACTTATTAAATGGTGAGCATTCAACTGGCAAAACATTGTATATAGATATCCAAAAGAAGAATTTTGTTAATAATTACACATTATTAATTCGTCCATCAACAGACTATTTAAGACTTTTTAAATACTTAAAAGGTGTTATAAACAGCAGCCTTAACAAAGCCGATGTTTTACTTCATATCAACTTATCACCATACACAAATTATTTAGATTTCTATTCTTTTGTATATCCATTAATCACATATGGATTTGTTTATAATCAAGAAACTGGTGATGTTTTAGATATTTCTGAATCAATCAATCTTTCAATTTATGTAGAAATCGGATCACCATTAAAAGTACCAATATACGGATCACCAAAAACATATCTTTCAATATTATATAATAAATCATCAATAATAAACTATTCAATTCCATGGTCCTTCGATCAAGAAGAGTTTTTATGCTTAACATATTCTCAAATTGGTGCAGAATTCCCAGTTAAAGCACCTCAACTTAATACAACTATTCCTAATGATCAGTTATCTACATTTTTTAACCATATTCAATCAGTTGTTGGTCCAAATGTATCCATTGAATATCTTAAAAATCCAAAATGTAGAAAATATTTAAAGAACTTTATATTATTATTAAATGAACGTTTATTGTATCTTCAAGAGTATTTCAGATTTTACATTGAGTTAAAAAAACAACTATCTATGGTTCTTTTAAAAAAAAATGTCAATCAAGGAGTGGTTATTACACCAAAAGAACTTTATCACTATTTCGTTACAGAGTCAGTTCATTTAGCAAACCCAACACTATGTAGTACTAAAGAAATTTGGAACAACCCACCACTTATTATTTCAAGATCTCTTGAAATGTTTCCAGATGAAAGGGGTATAATGAAATCCATTTTATATTTTAGTTTTATAGATTTTAGAAAAGAGAATGTATTGACATTAGACCAAGTTAATAATTTATTCACCCTTCAAAATGCATTTAGTGAAAAGGGTAAATTCTTTGCAGCTATCGCCCACCACTTTGGAATAACTGATCGTTCATATTTAATTTCAGATCTTTCAAATCAATACAACTATGTCTTAACATTAGATTTCTCACTTCGTCTTTTAATACTTCATGAAAAAATTAAAAATCAAAAATCCTTAATTTTAACTGGTGGTATGTATTTAATTATTTATTTTTATTAAGAAATATTCCAAATTATAAAATACTAATATATTTTTTTTCATTAGATACTGGTGTTGGTAAAACATATATTTTATTATTTTATTCTGCAATTATAAATGCAAGATATAATATATTACCAGAGATCATGTTCGAATTAAAAGGTTTTTTCAACCAACAAATGAAAAATGAAAAAAATAAAAATGAATTCATATCAACAAAAATCGAGTCGGAAGTAGGTGATTTTATTACAGTATCCAATAAGATTATTAATATCAACAATGAATCAGCAATCAATTTATTCAAAGAATTAACAGTTTTTTCAAGAAATATATTAAAAAATAATCTTATACACAAAAATTCATCACTGGAATGGGTACTCAATAATGAAATTGATTCAAAAGAAAGAACCGAAACTGTATTAAGAGATTTATGCTCAATTAAATTCTGTTGCCTTTTCGAAAGAATTATAATGCATGCAAAATATGATGCATCAGAGTTAAAAGAAAAAATTAGAACTCTAGAAAAGATGGCACAAAGCTTATATAAAATTAATACTTCACTAAGAATGGTTGTATTTATTGATGAATTCAATACAAGTCCAGATGACTCATTAGCTCTAATCAACGAATTGTTCATCGATGGAACCTTGGATGGTGAGAAACTATCGGTCGATAATATTACATGGATTGGTGCAATGAACCCAAATATCAAAAAAGAAACTCTAAACAGTTCAAATTCGATTAACTACACTGGTCAAGAGACAGAATCATCAAAACAAGAGTTTATTGTAAAAGATGCCACTCAATCGATGGAACAATTGTTTTTTGATTTTGGTGAATTTACTCCAGAGAGTGAAAAAACATTTGTTCAAGCAATGTTTAATAAAATTACAAAAGATAAGAAAATATCACCAGGAAGTGCAAGACATCTTCAAGAGTGTATTCTTATTGGTCAAAACTTTTTAAGAGAAGCTAACCAAGAAAGAACCCATGTATCAATTCGTGATATTGACAGAGCTGTTGATCTTTACCATTTCTTTACACACGACCAATGTGGCATTTCAATTATTAACTGTGGTTCAAGACTCGGATATGATGACACAGAGTTTCACTGGCATGCAATTGTTGTTACTATGTATTTAACCTACATTCTAAGACTAAGTCCAAATGGTCAAAAGAATAAAAGAGAAGATTTAATTAAATTATTTGACGAATATTTACATTCAAGAGAAGACCCAGCCAATCTTTCAATTAAAAATTTCCAAATGATTTTTAAATCAAAATATGAACACCTTTCTCGTAACTACACACGTTTACCAGAGGGTATTGCACTTACACAATCATTAATGTTAAATATATTTTGTACATTAGTAGCAATCAATACATCAATTCCACTTTGTATCGTAGGGCCACCAGGTTGTTCCAAAACACTCTCATTTTCAATTATTGTGGATAGTATAAAAGCTCCTAAGAACCAACTAGATACCCTTAGTCCATATAACTATATTCCATCATCTGAAGCATTCCGTTATCAATGTACTCCACATACAACTGATATAGAAATCAAATCTAGATTCGAAAAAGCTATTCAAAGAGAAATGGAATTGAAATCTGATAAAAATAAACACAAATGTATTGTTTTTATCGATGAAGCAGGTTTAGTAAACGAAGAAGAATCACCAATGAAAGTATTACATGATTATTTAGATCGTCTGAGTAATAAACTTGGTGAATCAAGTGATAATATTGGTACAATAATTTTATCCAATAAGATTTTAGATGCGGCCAAAACAAATCGTATGATGGTTTTATTCCATCCAGAATTTCTTTCAGAAGATGATGAAAAAGCTTTGGTAATTGGTTGTTTGTTTAATAATAAACCATATTTAGAAAATAGAGAAGTTAAAATATGTGAATCTCTTTGTATTTCTTATAAGAGTGTTAACAAATTCTCAAAATCTACAAAAGAAAATTTATTCCATCAACGTGATTTCGTTTATTTCCTCCGTTTCCTCAGACTTCAATGGTTAAAGAACAAGAAAGATTTAAGTGAAGCATTATTAGAATCTTTAGAAAGAAACTTTAAAGGTATCCCACAAAAAGAATTTGAAGGTTTAGCAAGAATGTTTTATCAAGAATTAGAAAAACACAAAATTAAATTAAATATTCCAGAATCAATTAATTTTGACAATACAATTAACAATATTAAATCTGCACTAAATGAAATAACAGATACCAATCAAAATCCAAACACATTTGCATTCAGATATATTATGGTTATTGACCAATCCGAAAACGAATCATCACTTCAAATATTAAATGAAATTTGTAAAAACAATGACAAACCTCCAGTTTTAATTAGAGTTGGTGGCTTTGAAAGAGATTCATCAGAAGAACTATTGGTAGAATGTGTCAGCAAAATCAAAGCTTCAATGGCCAATGGTGATACAGTTATTCTTGTTAATAGTGAAAAGATAGATTCATGCTTTTATGAAGTATTCAACCGATATTTTATTACAATGCATTCAAATGATAATAAAGATGGTAAAGATTTTATGTCAAATATTTCATTCGGAACTCATTCAAGCTACTGTAAAGTTCACCCCGATTTCAAGATTATTATCCACATGCCTCTTTCTAGATTAAAAAACACTCAACTTCCATGGTTAAACAGATTTGAAAAATATAGTCTTTCAATTGATTTACTCACCAAAGAAATTGTAAACAAGAATGATACGAAATTACATCAATTTGAAAAACTATCTCGTTGTGCAGATCATTTTATTTCAACACTTCAATACTCGTGTTCAAACAGTTCATTATTAGCTGGTTTTTCAACCGAAACCAAATCTTCATTACTCTATAAATTTTTCAAGACAAATGACGAAGAAATATTTGTTGATGAAGCTGAAAATCAAAGAATCGATTTTTATAAATCAGATAATGCACTAGAAGATCAAACAAAAATCAATTTTAAACTTTTACAGATTGCTAGACCAGAATCAATTATTAAATATATTGAATCATTCCCAATCAACTATATTGAAGAATACTTTTTACATCAAGAACATTTAAGTATTGTAAGATTTTTAAGAAATCTTTTTGAATCAAAATATAAACATAACGAAGCAGTTTCAAATAAATGGACAATCTTTACAAGATCATCATTACCTTTATCATCCCTCAAAGATTTAGAAATTAATAGAATTCTATCACAATCTTTATCCGAAGATATTCTTCCAGAAAATTCAATTAAAGTATTACAACTAAACTTTATTAGATCAAGTATCGATTGCGAAACCATCATTAAAGCATTCCAAGAATCTGATGAACAGGTCTTAATTGTTGTTGCTGATATGGTTTCTTGTAATCAGAATCAAATCACATATATATTTGAACTTCTTTCAGAATTAGAAAAATCAAAATTCCTTATTACAATTTATCACTATCCATCAGAATATTCGATTTCAAATCAAATCAAATTGAACTCAATTTTCCTTAGTGAAATGGAGTTCATTTATATTGACTCATTAGGAATAACTTTTGAAAAAGAAAACAATGGAAGTGTTATCGAAAGTGACATTAGAGATTTAATATCAAGATCATGTGGTATTAAAAACGCCCAAGTTAATAACAAATCAATTGAAGAAATTGTAAAAGATATGTTTTTCGAACAATTAAAATCAATTTCACAAGAATTAATTCCACCGGTCCCACTTATGACGTTTATGAGGGGAGGCAATAAAATACATCCATTTTATACCTCTTCAAATGAAAGATATAAAATATTATATCAATTATTTAAAAACAACACTGACTGGTATGAATCATTTGTTTCAAACTTTACTTCTCATTGGTTAGAAAATAACCTTTTCGAAAAAATTTTATCAAATATTGCAGATTTAATTATTTGTGGTAAAGGATCTCACTCTATTCTCGAAACTATTAAAAGCTCAATGGTTAATTACATCTACCCAACAATATCGAATATTGTCAAAATTCTTTCAAACTTCTATTCAATCACCTCAGTTATTGAAATAGATAAAAAGGTAAACGGTACATCTGAGTTAGATGAATCAGAATTGGAACTATATAAATTAAAGAAACTATTGATCAAAGAAATGATTGAATCATCCAAACAACCATATTTTTCAGAAATTCAAATCGATAGAAGATTAGAACCAGTCACCTTAAAACCACCAAAAGTAACTCAACAGTCCTTAATTCCTTTATATGACCACTTTGATATTCAATTCTCATACTTTTTTAATAATGTTGTAAACCAAGCAAAAACAAAATCAGAAAATGATATCTCTATCTTAATAAAAAATATATTGGTAGACCATCCATTAGAACATTATATACAAGAAATATCAAAATCAAAAAAATTATTTGAAATGTTCCAGAAAGATTTCGTTATTAGATCACTGGGTATTAGAGAAGACTTAATAGAAATGTTTGTTTCAATTTTGGATATTCTTTTACCATGGGAAATAGATAATGAGAAAATACAAGAAAAAAATACGAAAAAAATCATTCAATACTGGATCATCAAACATTTTAAATCAAATATATTTTTATTTTTAAAGAATATAATCAATCCTATTCTAAACCTTCCAAATAAAGAAAAAGCAATTAAAAAACTTTTCAAAGCAATTAACGATCCATCAAGTGGAATTTCAGAAGGAAATGTTGTAAAGTTAAAGAAAAATTTTATTAAAATGACCATTGATATTCTACTCAACCAAATAGATGAAGTTGTTAAAAACTATACAGAAGGTGATGAAGATATAACTACATGGTTTAAAGTTGTTAAAGATCTTTTCAATAGAACTAAAGTAGAAGAAATGATTGAGTCAATAAAACAATACATTCAATATACCTCCAACTATAATCAATTAGAAAACAACGACTGTTTAAATGTTGTTTATCTTCACAATTGTTACCAAATTATCTTAGAAATCTTAGTATTGGGTGATAGAATTTCAAAGGAAATGACTACAACAATCTTAACAGGATATTTAAAAAAATTCAATACCTTTGATATTGGTGATATTGTAGATACCTTTAATAATATATCTGATAGATTCAATGACCAACCAAAACTTACAAGCTCATTAGAAATTATTAGGCCATTGATTTCTTTAAATATCGATAATTTAAAACAATTTTTAACATTAGTTGATGAAGGAAAATTACCATTAGGTTGGAGTGCAGTTATTTTAAAAGATCTTTTTAAGAATAGACAATATAGAACATTTTTAGAAAAAGAATTTAATTCATCCTATGAAGTTTCATATGTAACATCTGGACCAATTCCATCGATTACAGATATTAAAGATAACATCTCATCTATTATACCACTAAATTACAATATAAATACTCAAACAATCAAAGACTTACCATCAAATAAAAAAGTTATCGATATTCTTTTCAATATTTATCTTGAAGAATTCTACAATCAATCTAGTCAAGTCGAAAAACACTTTTCAAAAATTCTAGTACTTCAAGAAACTGAAATTTTAAAAGCAGAGGATCAAAAAGATAAAATCAAATTTACTACTATTGACAAAATTAAACTTTCTTCATACTCTTGTTTGTTTTTAAATTATTTATCGGAACAATTTAAACAAAATATCGATGATTTGGAATCCAAAATTTTAAATCTAATAGAAGGAAAAGAGATTCAAAAAATATTGAATTCAATTTTAAACAACAAGGTAAAACCAATTCAATCAATTTTATATCAAGTTTATTTATTCAGTAGAATCGTAAATGAACAATGCCTGTTAAAACTATTAGGCTCCCCAGAGATACTAAAGTGCTTAGGTCTTTCAAATTATCACAACTCCTTTGTTTTACCACCCACAAACAAAGATGAATACTATAATCTACCATTTGAATATGATGTATCTTTAGAAGAATTTCAAACATTTACAACAATTTATAATTTGCTAATTAACAAAGATATCACACAACTAAAGAAGGTTATAATGGATGAAAAACATAACAACTCCAAATCAAAAGGTTTAATAAGAATGATTTTATTTGTTTTATCATATAGATTCTATATAAGCAAGCAAAATGAACAGACAAAACTATTACTTTTAACCATTCAAGATGATACACTTGTAGAAAGAATTTCACTCGCTCCATATATTGATAGCTACCTTAAAATATTAAATACAACATTTAATGATCAATACCATATTGATAGAATTTTAAAGAATCCAGTCAAAGATCAACTCTCTACTAGTGTTACAATTATAAACTATATTGCCCTCTCAATTGGAACAGATCAAAGCCATCTTTCATTGTTTTTGCGTTCAAAACAAACAAGCGATGCAATTGATCCCTTGTTGGTAAATATTGGTATACGCAAAATATTCCCCCCTGGACCCGCACTCATTGATTGCAATGTTAAAAGCATTGCTGGTGTTACAAGAAAGTTAGATTTCCATTTATTGGTATCCTCAACATGGTGTGTGATTGCATATGCATGCTCTTTAAGAAATTTAGAACATTCTTATTTCAACAATCTTCATTTTATCAACTATCCACAGGATGCAGAAAACTCCTCTGACTATACATTTGCAAGAGGTTATAACTCTATTCTCGATATAGAAACTGATAAAACCTTATCATCATCTCTTATTGATCCACACATGTTCATTTCATTGAATCTATTCAAAATTTGGGAAAATTCTTTCGATCCACAATATCAAATGGTATCAAGCTTTAACCCAAACAATGTTATTACCTACACTAACAATATCCGTAGTTGGATTGAAAAACTTATTTTAGATTTTAGCCAAATTAAACATAATATCAACCATCAAATATCAACCCAATTAAAAAATCTATATATTATTCGTGATACATTTTCAAAAACAAATCAATTAATTTTATTAAGCGATGAACAACTCCATCAACTTGTTGCATCAAAGGAAAATGAATACCTTCCAATCAAAACATTTGTTTCCGAAATTGAAAAGATTTGTTTATCAAAGTATTTTATTACCATTATTAAATTCCTGGACTGCTTTTATAAACTATGTTCAAATAGAATTCCGGAAGACTATCTTGATAAATCAGTCAAAGATTGTATTGGGTTTTTAATTGCAAATAAATATGAAACAGAAGATTCAACTGCAGAACTTTTCAACATTTACGATCAACTAATAGAAAACTGGGTGATCATCAAAGACAAATTAACAATCGATGTATGCAGAAGAGGATTGTACGCTGAAAGTGAAATACCAGAGATTACAATTGATACTCCCCTTTTAGCATTGGTTTCAGATGGTAAATCAGTTGGTTGGTTAAAAAATGTAATTGACAAATGGTTAGAAAATACCCAAGCATCAATCATAAACTCCTGCTTAACCAACAATAACCTTTCACCAGTTATTCAATCGATTGTCGAAAGCTTTGGAAGAGAGAACAAATTTGATATTGCAAATATACCATTAGGTGTCGTTGATGAAAATGTTTTACTTGGTTCAAGTTATTCCCCAGAAGATTTCTATAACTTTTGCCATCTTCAAATCGCACAATTCTTTTCATATAACAAACATAAATTTGAATCATCAATCGATTGGGGTTCATTTTTAAACAACTTGACAATAACATTTATCTATGGAAAAGTTGCTGAAGGTCAATTAAAAACTTATGGTGGTAAATTCCCATGTATCCAACCAGTTGGAACATCTAATGATCAAGACTCAACACTAAACAGCACTGCATTCTCCGAACCTGAATTTATTAAAGAATTAAAAGATTTAGTTAAAATTCAGAAGATTTCAAAATTAAAAATAGATTTAGATAAGAGTGTAGAAATCAAACTTAGAACGAGATGTAAATCAAAATTAAATCAGTACCAACTAGAAACAATTGCAAGGTATTTAATCGGCCTATTAGCAAAGATCAACAATCATTCAGATATAACCAGTATTTATGAATCAAATTTAATATCATTCTATCCAACAGATGATTCAAAATTAGATCATACTATTAAAGAACTTTTACCATTGGTACAAATTAAAATGGTCTCATCATTCACCAAAACATTTATAAGTACATACTCTGGTTTTAGATATTATTACTCAAGTATTATGGCAGATCCAATCGAAACAAATCCCAAATATTTCGATCAATTTAAATCCATTCAAGATAAAATATTAAAAGATTGTTATGAAAAAGAAAAAATTAATATCAAAAGAATAAATATGTGGATTGAATATATTAGTCAAGCAATTCAAAAGATTTGTAACAATGACTCTAAATTCTTTATTTCAAATTCACAACCCGACCACCCACTTTGTAAGCTATTCAAAAAACTATCACTCTCAGAAATAAGCTCTCCCTCAGCATTATTTAATATTTTTAATGAAGTTAAAACTGAAACCCCTTTTAACTATTTTGCAACATTTATGGGTACACTTCAGGACACATTATCAACTCTCTATATCAAACTAGACAGCAAAGAATCAACCAATGATATCATCGTTGAATTTGCTGAGCTTACTGAAAAAGATTTAGAAAACATTATTATAAAAAAAAGACCCCCACCAAAGAAAAAGAAGACCAGAGCAAATAAAAACAAACCATCTATAAATACCTATCAAAATAAAATAGAAACTGAAATCATCCAAAAAGAAGAAATCGCTGAAAACAACAATCAAAAAGATTTAAATGATGAAGTCAATGAAGAAGATGATGAATCATTATCCATTGGTAGAAGATTGGTCTCAAATAATGGCCTTGATTTCTTAATCAACATATTCAACCTTATCATCTTTAATGGCTTTGATGTCTTTAACATTGAATATACTTCGAAACTTTACCCATATATTCAAATGTTTAAGAAAGAAGTCAACAATAAGATCAAAGATCCATTTGATATAGATCCATTCTTTGATGTACTAAAGGACCAAAGCCCACTATTAAATCAAGTTACAAAAGATAACCCAATGAACCCATATATAATTCTATATGAAATTTTAAACACTTTCGAATATAATGGTTGTAAAGAATCAGTTGCAAAGAAATTATTTGACGGAGAAACTATTGATATCTGTAGCAAATGTAAAAAACCCTCTATACCATCAAAAAAGCAATTCAATTTTTCTATAGATGTCGAAGAAACTTATCTTGATGATGAAATTTTAAATGAAATTAAAAACAAATTTGATTCATATTCTCTTAAAAAGTAAGTCATTATATATTATAAAAAATATTTAGAAATTTTTATTTATAACTTATTAATTTTATTTATAAAGCTGTGACAAATGTAAAAATAAAAGTTTCACCTATAATTTCCTTCATGTTGTTCCAGAATGTCTTTCAATTGAAATCAATAGAATCCATAATGGGGATATCAAGTATAAAAGATTCAATAACCCTAAAGAAATAGATCTTACCAGTTGTTTCTATGAATGCAGTAATGCTAAATACTATCATCATTCAACCCTTGTATGTATTTTCACCTTATTTTAAAAATCAATTCATTTAAACTAACAATTTTTTACTTATAACTTTTAGATGAATGATGGATCAATTCATATTAGTTCTAATAACAAAATAATCAGATCAACTAATAAATCACAGTTTAGCTATATTGATGAAAATGAACGTTATAGAGAAGAACCATTAATCAGCACATTATTAATTTATAAAAAATATAACAGCCCAAATAGCAATGATAATATTAACAATAACAATAGCAACAATAATAGTGGAAATGAAAATGATAATGAAAACAAATTCAACAATAATGAAGAAACAAACCTCCCAAAACTAGACTACAACAATTCTGAAAACCTAACCATAGATCAAGTTATAGAACTTTATGATGATCACCTTTTAGTGTGGTTGAGTAATTTAAAAATCGATAGCCAACATATTATTTCCATTACCAAACTCTTCGAGAAAAAAGAAATTACAAAATTCTCTCATATTCTCTACTTAAATGATGATGATTGGAGAGAAATCATCCCATCCATCCCATTAAGACTTGCATTTTTTAAATACTTAAAATTTATTAAAGACTAAATTAAAATTAAAAAAAAATAATTAAATAAATAGCTGTTATAATATTCTTTATTGTTTTAATTTTCTTCAAACTCAACAGTTACTATACCCTATATACATCTCCCTAGTTACTTATTATTTATAAAATCTCTTAATAAAAAAATATTTAAAATAAAACATAAAAATAAAAATCTATCATCACAAAAAAAAAAAAAAAATAAAAGAAATATATTTACCAATAAAAAAAGAATAAGCCTTCCAGCCACAAAGAAATATACTCATTATGAAGTTGGAATATTCAACACCATGGAAAAAAGTAATAGTAATAAAAAAGATACAGAATCATTTATGATTAATAATAAACTATTCATTTTTTATGATTTTAATAAACTAAAATCATTTTATTAAAATGCAATTTTGATGTAGATGAATATACTTCCCTTATCTACATGGAACATGATTCCGACTCCAGTTCAGGTGATGGATAGAAATATGACTTTGAAGACAATGAAAATCCTGTGTAAAATTTGATTTTATATCCAAGACTCCGATTCAAATTCAGATTAATACTCTGAAGACGATTCAATAAATAAATCTTTAAATCTTCTGTTAATTTTCAGACCCTTTTTATTTGTTAATTTAATTTTTAAAATAAACATTACATTAATTTATTAAAATAATAAAAAACTCTTTTAAATAAAATAATTTTAATTTAGTCTATAATATTTTTGTATTTATTCTTTTTTATATAGTAGGTTAATTAAATTTACTAAAACAAAATTATCTTTCATTTGAAACTGAAGATGTTATAACTGTTGATTGGAATATCTACTATAGGGTTCTAACTGAGGACGGTATAACACTGCTCTAAGTTGTCGAAAACCCAATCGAATGTTAATGTTTAAATGGATGAGGGAATACAATGAATACAGTATATATCACCTGTTTAAGTATTTGATTAAAACTACTGCCAAATGGAAATGCATATACTGATGGTGGAATTTTGCATGTTTCAATTTTGAAATGATTTCCCAAATACTATTTGTAATTGCTATTTTTTCTTTTCATAAAGGGGGCCAGTGTAAGTATAATTTTTGGGCAACTTGTGGGATTCTATATTATAATTTATGAGGTTGAAAATTTTGTGGAGAAATTTGATTGAATTTAATTACCACATTATTTTATTTATTGAAAAAAAAAAAAATTGATTTTAAATTGGTTTATTTTTTGTTTTTTTTTTTTATTAATTGATTATAACTCTAATACTACTACCACTACAGCTATTATTATTGTTGTTTGTTTGTTTATTTATCTAAATATGATAATAACAAAAATAATTGTTAAAAAAATAAAAGAAAAAAAAAAGTGGGTGGGGGTAGTTTAGAATACAAAAAAATATTTATTTTAAAATGAAAATATAATTAAAAAATAATTTAATTAATAAATAATAAAAAATAAAAAAAAGAAAAATAAAAAAAAAAAGGTAGATACAAATAAATATTACTCTATTTATTAAATATACATTTTTCTATAAAAATATATTTTTGTGATTTTCATCGTTTGTTCTTTAAAAAAAAATTAAAAAAAAAAAAAAAAATTAAAAAAAAAATTTATTAAAAATTTTATTTAATTTTTTTACTTTTTTATAATAATTATATATAAATCAATAAACTGATAAAATAATATTATTAGAAATAAAAAACATTATTATTTGGAATATTTTTTTTATTTTTTATTCATTTAATAATCAAACAGCAACAACAAAAAATAAATAACAAAAATACAAAACAATAAATGTTTATGCAACAATTATAAATATTAGTATATATAAGACCAACTAATCAAAATAAAATAAACAATCAAAATCGAACTCCCTAATATTAAATTAATATTAGAGATAACAGATCATATAATAACAATAAATAAATAAATAGATAATAATAAAATAACAAACGATATATAGTATTATAAAATGAATGCTATAAAATTTATATTAAATAATAAAGGTTTTTTTGTTGCCTTTGCATATGGCGTAACATCAGTATCAATTACATTTTTTAACAAGGCGGTATTAAACTATTATAATTTCAACTACTCAAATTCCTTAACATTGGGTCAGATGATATTCTCATTATTCTTTTTGGTAATAATGAAGCAATTTGGATATATCTCATATCCAGATTTAAATATTGATTTATGTAAAAAAGTATAGATATAACCAATAGAAGGACCACACGCATACATGTAATATATAACAATATACTAATGTAACATTTATTATCTACATATATAGTTATTATCTTTATCTTTATTATTCATCTTGATGGTAGTTTCAGGTTTAGCAGCATTAGCAAAAACAAACGTACCATTATTTAGTGCTCTAAGAAGACTATCGACTTTGATTGTCATCGCTGGTGAAAGGGCGTTATTAGGTAAGGTTACTCCGGCTAATGAAACTCAAAGTGTAGTTATTATGGTACTTGGTGCATTAATTGCAGGTTGGGGTGATGTTACATTCGATGTTGTTGGTTCAATTTATATTTTGTTTAATTGTTTTGTAACTGCTGGTTATTTAATTTTTATTGGTAAGTTTTATTTTTATCATTAATAATCATGCTATTCAAACCCCCAAACTAACCATTTATAAATTTAGCAAAGAAAACTAAGGAAACTCAATTAAATACTTTTGGCTTAATGTTTTATTGTAATATTTTATCAATGCCAGCAACTATTCTTTTAACCTATGTCACAGAGTGGGAAGGTATTAGTTCATATGAAGGCTATTCAGATCTTGGTTTCCAAGTAAGTAACAACTATTTTATAATAATAAATAGTAATCAATCTATGATAGGGTTTATATTAACATTACATTTTAACAATCTATAGTTCTGCTTCTTAATGTCATCAGTTCAAGCATTTTTATTGAATTACTTTATATTTTTATGTTCAACTTTAAATTCACCACTTACAACCAGTATTACAGGTCAAATCAAATCAATTCTTCAAACTATTCTTGGTTTATTTATGTTTGGTGATGTAATTATTACACCATTATTATCAATTGGTCTTATTGCTAGTACAATAGCTAGTTTTTGGTACACATATATTAAATATGACCAAACTGTAAATAAGAAACCAACTCAAGGTTAAAAAATATTAATCAAACAAAAGAAATATTTAATTATATTAATTATAAATATTTTAATATATATTTTAATAAAAAAAAATATATAAATAATTTTTTAAAAAAAATAATAAAAAAAAAATAAAATAAAATAAAATTTTTTAAAAAAAACTATAAAACTATAAATCTTATTATTTTTTTCTATAATATTAACATTTTTATTTGATTAAAATTTTAATCAGTGTGTGGTAAGTTGTGTGACATTGAGATTTGATCAGCTTGTGGTTGTGGTTTAGTTTCAGTCTTACGGTTGTGTTTTAAGTGAGAACGAACGAGATGACCAGCAGCAAGAGCTGACATTAAAGATAATTCACCAGAGAGGACGGCAGCAGCAACGACTCTTGATAATTGTTCAGAGTTGGCACCTGGACGTTCAACGTTGGCACCACGAATTTTGAGGAGATCAAGACAAGCAGCTTGAGCTGGGAGATGTGTACCACCACCAACAGTACCGACTTCGATAGATGGCATAGTTACTGAAATGTATAAATCTTTACCATTGTTGATACTTTCCATTAAAGTAATACAATTTGATGATTCGACATTTTGAGCTGGATCTTGACCAGTGGCAATGTAAAGAGCAGTAACAATATTTGAAGCGTGAGCATTGAAACCACCAATTGAACCAGCCATAGCTGAACCAATTAAATTTTTATCGACATTTAATGAAACTAAAGAATCGACAGTAGTCTTTAAGACATCTCTAACGATATCACCGCTGATAACAGCTTCAGCAACAACTGATTTACCACGACCTTCTAACCAATTGATGGCTGATGGTTTTTTATCGGTACAGACGTTACCTGATAATGAAAGAACTTCGAGCTCTGGGAAATATTCGCTAATAACTTCCATAGCTTTTTCGACACCTTTACTGACCATATTCATACCCATAGCATCACCAGTTGATGATTTGAATCTTAAATATACAAGTCTACCAGCAATAACAACTTTGATATTCTTTAAACGAGCGAATCTTGAGGTAGAGTTGAAGGCTGAGGCAACTTGATAAAAGTTTTCTTGGTTTTCGATCCATTGTTTGAGTTCAGCAGCTTTAACAGCGCTTGGTAAACGACAAACTGGAGCTCTGGTCATACCGTTTTGGAGGACAACTGATTTAGCACCACCACTCTTTGTGATAGCTTTAGCACCTCTGTGAGTTGAAGCAACAAGACAACCTTCAGTAGTGGCCATTGGAATGGAAACTAATTTGCCATCGAGTAAAATTGGACCTGCAACACCAATTGGGATTGGGATGTAACCAATGATATTTTCGCAACATGCACCTAAAACTTTAGTGTAATCATAACCATCTAATGGAATATTATTAATTGATGAATCGAAATCTAAATTTGATGATGGTGCAGTAACAGTTGGAATTGAGGCTGGATCTTCACCTGAAGTGGCGGCTTTTTCAGCTGCAGCAACAACAGCTTGAGCATGAAGAGCTCTTTGATGTTCTTTTTGAAGATCTCTAGCTAATAACTTTCTTCTAATATGAACAGCTCTTCTGAAATCGTTTGGTAAACGAGTTTCTAAATTGTGTGGTTGAATTTCACCCTTATCAACTAAACCAATGATTTCTTCATCTTTTAAATTTTCAACATTAGCACTGACTTTTTTAGCTGGTTCTTCTTTAACACATGATTCTGGTTTGTAATTTGCAGTTGTAAATAATCTTACTTGTTTTGAGTTCTTTAATAAATTTGAGCCAATTAATCTTAACATTTTTTTTTTTGTTTTGTAATTATTAATTTATATATTTATTATGTTTGTGTATTATTAAAGTAGTGTATTATTAATGTTGCTAGTGTTGATGTTGTTGTTATTAAAACAAATTATTTTTTTTTCTTTAAAAAATATTTATGAAAGTTTCTTAAATAATTTTTTTTTTTAAATGAAAACCTCTAAACTTTTAATAAAAATTAAATGAATTAATAAAAAATGATATTTATAAATTAAAATATTCAAAAAAAAAAAAAAAAAAAAAAAATATGTATATAAATATAAAAAAAACAATTCTTTTCTTTCTTTTTTAAACTAAAAAAAAAAATGTGTAAAAAATAAAATAAACAGAGAATAACGAACATAAAATATTATAAAAGATTAAATAAATTTAAAAAATATCAAAAAAAAAAAAAAAAAAAAAAGTGGGAGGAAAGTGTTATTATTATATGTGATCTGGTAGAAATCTATATTTGGTTTAAAAAATAAATTTTGAATTTGCAAAAAAATTATTTGAATTGGGTAAAAATGTTATAGAACAAATAATATTTATATATATATTTTGTATCTAATGGGGCATAAAACTTTAAAAATAAAAAAAAGTTTTAAAATATAAATTGTTTTTTAAAAAAACAAATGAAAAAAATAACAATACCAAATCATTGTAAATTTAATATTAAATTTAAGATTATTGAATAAAAATTTAAAAGTGTTTTGATAAATTAAAAACAATGCAATAGATCTGTTTACAAATAAAACAATAACAATACCAAAAACCAAAAACCATTTTATAAAATAAAAAAAAAGAAAAAAACCACACACATACACACACACATCCACACAAACAAATTGAAACAGATATTTTTAAAATATTTAAAACCTACATTTTTTTAATTTAATTATTTGTTTTGATTTTTTTAAACTTTAAGGAAAGCTAGTTCAAAAACAAATATTTAATAATAGAAAAAAAAATATATACAATAGTTGATAATAAGATAGATTATAAAATTTTTTTTTTTTTTTTTTAACCGAGTTGAATTTAGCAGTCGAAAAAAAATTAAAAAAAATTATAAAATAAAAAAATAAAAAAAAAAATAAAAAAAAAAATAAAAAATCAACATGAAGTGATTGATTTTTTTTTTTTTTTTTTTTTTAATTAATAGCTTTTTTTTTTTTTTTATTTTTGTTTTTTATTTTTTTATTTTTTAATTTTTTTTTTTTTAAAAAAAAAGTTTATTTTTTTTTTATAATTTTATTTTTTCCATATTGATATAAATTACATTTATATAATTTTTATTTTTTTACATAAACTTATCACACAGTTTTTATATATACAAAGATGTCAGAAGAAGATTATTTTGAAGATGAGGTTCTTTTTACTGCCGCTAAAAAGTAAATAGATTATTTTTTTTTTTTTTTTTTTTTTTTTTTTTTTTTTTTTTTTTAAAAGATTCAAATATTAATATTTTTTTAATATTTTTTTTTTTATCCTATAGGAATTATGAAAGTATGTTTGAAGAATTCTATGAAGAAAGAAAAAAAAGAAATTTATTTGATGCCAATATTTTAGATGCTCAAGGTAATACACCATTACATTATAGTGCAACATTTGGACATGTTGAAATTTCAAATCGTTTATTAGATTTAGGAGCCAATCCAAATATTCAAAATAAAGCAGGTGAAACTCCACTTCATAAAGCAGTATGGTATGATCGTGTTCCATTATTCGAATTATTAATTGAAAGAGGTGCCAATCCAACAATTGCCAATAATCAAAAACAAACTGTTACTCATTTAGCCAAATCATCAGCAATGAAGGATCTTATCAAACAAGCCACTTTAGCTGCCACTATCAATAAAGAAGATTTCGCTGATGATGACGATGACGACGAAGATGATGCCGAAGCCAACAAACCATATAAACCATCTGCCCATGATCACAGTGATATGGTTGCTGCTGATAGTGATGATGAATAATATATTTAATCAAATTGTAATTTAATAATAATCATTTTTAAAATAAATAAAAAAAAATCAAAATCAAAATCAAAACTAAAACCAAAACTAAAATCAAATAAAAAAAAAAACCATAACCAACCCAAATCAAATTGGTCAAATCAAATCAAATCAATATATAATAATTTAATCAATAATAACAGTCAATAATCAATTGAATAATATATCACATAATCAATTAACTATTTATTTATTTATAATATGTAAAATAGAATAAAAAAAAAATAAAAATAAAAAAGTGTATAATAATTTTAAAACAAAAAAAAAAACCACAAATGTTATTATTTCATGGATCAATTATTGTAATAATTTTGTCAAAATGAAAAAAAAAAATTTTATTAATTTTTTAAAAGAAAAACATGGCTTTTTGGATTTTTATTTAAACCCAAAAATTAATTTTTTTTTTTTTTTTCAAAAATTTTTTTTAATTTTTTTCATCATTTTTATTTTATTTTTTCTTTTAACAAAGTTATATATTTTTTATAAAAAAAAAAATAAATAAATAATAAAGGAAATAAACTAAATAATAAAAAAAAAGACGATCAATCGACAATTTTATATTTATTTATTATTTATATAAACGATCTTTTTTTTTCTTTTTTTTTTTTTTTATTTTCTTTTTTTTTTTTAAAAATTAATAAATTTGTTTAATTAAATTTATTTTTATTTTTAAATTTTTTATATACCATATATATTATTTATTATTCATTGTATTTTTATAATTTTTATTTATTATTATAATAAATAAAATCAAAATAAAAGACCAAATAAAATGGCACAACAAAAAGCAGAATGGGGAAATCAAATGAAAAATGAAGGTTTAGATGATATGACATTATTATCAAAAGTAACCAATGACCAAATTTTAGAAAATTTAAAGAAAAGATTCGAAAAAGATATTATTTATACAAATATTGGTGATGTATTAATTTCAGTAAATCCATTCAAACAAATTCCAATCTATGGCGATGATGTTTTAAATCAATATATTGGCAAGTCACGTATCGAATTAGCTCCACACATCTACGCAGTTGCAGAACAAACATATAGATCAATGATTAACGAAAAAGAAAATCAATGTGTTATTATTTCTGGTGAATCAGGTGCAGGTAAAACTGAAGCAGCAAAGAAAATTATGCATTACATTGCACAAGTTAGCGGTGAACAAGGTGGTGTATCAAATCAAAAGGTAGAACACGTTAAATCAATTATTTTAGAAACCAATCCATTATTAGAGGCCTTTGGTAATGCTAAAACTCTTCGTAATAATAATAGTTCACGTTTTGGTAAATACTTTGAAATTCAATTCAATCAAAAGAACGAACCAGAAGGTGGTAAAATTACCAATTATCTTTTAGAAAAGAGTCGTGTAGTTTATCAATTAAATGGCGAACGTAATTTCCACATCTTTTATCAATTTTGTAGAGGTGCAACCCCACAAGAACAACAAGAATTTGGTGTCTATGGTCCAGAAAATTTTGCTTATTTAACTAAAGGTAATACTCTTGATATCGATGATGTAGATGATGTTGAGGAATTTGGTTTAACTAGAAACGCTATGAATGTAATTGGTATTACAGCACAAGAACAAAAGCATATCTTTAGATTATTAGCTGCAATTCTTTGGATTGGTAATGTTGAATTTAAAGAACAAGCTGGTGATAAAGTTACAGTTGCTGATCAATCAGGTATGTTATAAAAAACTAAATTGCCTTTAATTTTTAATTAAAAAATATTAATTTTTTTATTTTTTATTATTTTTATAGTACTCGATTTTGTTGCCCAATTATTAGAGGTACCAAGCCATTTCTTAAAGACCTCATTGGAATTTAGACAAATGGAAACCAAACATGGTAATCAAAGAGGTACTCAATATAATGTTCCATTAAATAAAACTCAAGCCATTTCAGGTAGAGATGCTTTAGCCAAAGCTATTTACGATCGTTTATTCAACTGGTTAGTCGAACGTATTAATCAAGCTATGGAAAATCCAAATAGAGGTTTAATTATTGGTGTATTAGATATTTATGGTTTCGAGGTTTTCGATAGAAATGGTTTTGAACAATTTTGTATCAATTATGTCAATGAAAAACTTCAACAAATTTTCATTGAGTTTACCCTTAAAAATGAACAAGAAGAATACGTCCGTGAAGGTATCAAATGGGAACCAATTCCATATTTCGATAACAAGATTGTATGCGATCTTATTGAAGGTAAAAACCCACCAGGTATTTTCTCCATTTTAGATGATGTTTGTCGTGCTGTACACAGTCAAACCGATGGTGCCGATCAATCTCTCTTACAAAGAATTGCTGTTTGTAAATCAAATGCTCATTTTGATACTCGTGGTAACGCTTTTTGTATTAAACATTATGCTGGTGATGTAATTTATGAAGGTCCAGGTATGATCGAAAAAAATAAAGATACTCTTCTTAAAGATCATTTAGAAATTCTTCAAATGTCTGCTAATGGTTTCTTAACAGCACTTTTCCCAGATGTTATCGATTCAGACTCAAAGAAATTACCATCAACTGCTGGTTTCAAAATTAAATCTCAAGCTGCTGAATTAGTTAGCACTTTAACAAAATCAACTCCACATTATGTTCGTTGTTTAAAGAGTACCGATACAAAGAAACCAAATGTTTTTGAAGGTGCTAGAGTTTTACATCAAATTAAATATCTTGGTCTTTTAGATAACATTAAGGTAAGAAGAGCTGGTTTTGCATACCGTACCTTTTTCCAAAAGTTTATTGACCGTTACTATCTTTTATCCGATAAAACTTGTTATGCCGGTAATATGATCTGGAAAGGTGACCCTCTCTCTGGTTGTCGTGCTATTTTAGCTTCACAAAATGTCGATTCAACTCAATATCAAATTGGTAAATCAAAGATCTTTATTCGTTACCCAGAAATGCTCTTTACTCTTGAAGAAACTAGAGAACGTTATTGGCACGATATGGCATCTCGTATTAAGAACGCCTATAGAACCTATAAATCATTCCAATATGAATGTGCTAATCGTATTAAACACGCATTCAGAAATTATAAATTATACAGACAACGTTGTGCCCAAACCATTCAAGGTTACTTTAGAGCATGGAAACAAGCTTCACCATTCTTTGACCTTCGTATGCAAACCGAACAAACATTTAATGGCAGAAAAGAAAGAAATCGTTTCTCTATGATTTCAGTAAGAAAATATTTTGGTGATTATTTAGATGTTCGTTCACAAACTTATTTCCTCGATGCTATGGCTGAAGGTCGTAACGAAGAGGTAATTTTCTCATTCAAATCTCAAGTTGTAGTTCATCCATTATTATCAGCAAACAAATTATCACCACGTTTCTTAATTGTAACTAAACAAGCCATCTATTTAATCAAGTTAAAACAAAAGAAGAATTTAGCCACCTATTTATTAGACAGACGTATTCCATTAGCTGAAGTTACTTCATTCTCTCTTTCAAATCTTGTTGATAATATGATTATGATTCATACATCAACTCAATTCGATGTTGCTCTTACTTGCGAACTTAAAACTGAATTAGTTGCTCTCATTAACAAAGCTAAAGGCCAACAATTACCATGTAACTTTGCCAATTCAGTTCAATACTTTAAAAAGAAAGGTAGCAATAATACAATTACTTTTGTAAAAGATGAAATGCATAAAGAAATTTTCTTCAAGAAAAATCAAGTTCACATTGCCTCTGGTCTCCCAGCCTCCTCTACTATTAATAAGGTTAGAAAAAATCCAAGTATCAATGGTGGTAGTTCTATTAAACCAGTTGCTAAACCAGTAGCTCAACCATTAAATATTAAACCAGTTGCTAAGCAAATGCCAGCCAAACCAATGCCATCAAAACCAGTTGCCAAACAATTACCAGCCCCAGGTGCCCCAATGCCATCTAAACCAGTCGCTAAACAATTACCAACACCAGGTGCTCCAATGCCATCAAAACCAGTTGCTAAACAATTACCAACACCAGGTGGTGCTCCAGTTTCAAAACCAGCTGGTGCTCCAATGATGAAACCAATGATGAAGCCTCCAGGTGGTGCTCCAATGTCAAAACCAGCCGGTGCTCCAATGATGAAACCAGCCGGTGGTGCTCCAATGGCTAAACCAGCCGGTGCTCCAATGTCTAAACCAGCCGGTGCTCCAATGATGAAACCACCAGGTGGTGCTGCACCAATGGCTAAGCCAGCTGGCGCTCCAATGATGAAACCACAACCTGCTCCAATGAAAAAACCAGCCGCTCCATCTGCTGAGCAATATGTTGCTCTTTATGACTACGATAAAATGCAAGGTGATGAACTTTCATTCAAAGAAAATGATATTATTCAATTAATTAAAAAAGTTGATCAAGATTGGTGGATGGGTACTTTAGTAAGCACCGGTGCCAGTGGCATGTTCCCAAGGTATGTATAATTAAAATAACTAATTTAATTTTTATAATTTTCAATTTATTAATTTTTTTTATTTTTTAAACTAGTAATTATGTTGAATTAAAAAGATAAATTTTAAAAGACACTCCAAGAAATATATAAAAAAAAAAAAAAAAAATAAAAAATGTATTAATAATTTTAATTTTAAAAAGATATTTCATTTATAGTTTTATTAGAAATATAAAAAAAGATAACTCCTCCTTTGAATTTAAACTTAGGGATTTCAATTTAGGTTATTTTTAGTGATTATAAAAATATAACAATGTATAAATAAAATTATAAAATATTTAATGTATATATTTATAAATAACAATGATCGAAATTTTAAAATTATTTTAAATAATAAACCATATTTTTATAAAACACATAAATTATCCTTTTTAAAATCAATTTAAAAGGTAAAAATGTAAGTTTTTATAATTATAACAAACAAAATTAACCTTGGTGATTTATAATCTAATAATCAATTTTAATCAGAAATTAATAAAATATAAAATACAAATGAAATTTACTATATGAGCTTAATGAACAATAATAAGCCCATTATTAATTATTAAAAAAACCAAAATCTTTAAAAAAAAAAAGTTAGATCTACTTTATTTACATTTACTATTTTAATTTAATATATTTAATGTGGTATATTTTGTATTTCTAATTAAAACTAAATTCTTCATCATTTGTAATATAACGACATATACGAAGCAGTGATTTTTTATACCTTTTAAATTTATTGTCTGGTGTTGGTAATACCCTATATAATTTTTTTATTTTATCTATAAGTTTTATAATTTCATCTTCATCATTGATATGAAAAAAAGAGTTTCTTTCTCTACATAATTCTAATACCTTGTCTAATTCAACACCTTTAGCATTTTTCTGTGCCTCTTTATTTTTTGTATAGTTTACTTTAAATGTTTCCCAACTGATTTGACCTTTCTCTTCTTTGTCATCGTTTATCTCTTTTAATAAATGATGCTCTAAATAATAGTGACATACTGTAACGAAATATACTTGTTCACTCATGAGTGCGGCATCTTGTATAATATTAATTCCATCACTGTCAATACTTTCTCTGAGACTATTATTATGTGCCATTATTTCTTCCATTTGTTTGTTTAATTTTTCGATTTTAATATCTTGTGTTTCTAATTTCCCATCCTGTGTTTTTAATTTCTCGCTTTGAATCTTTAAAGTTTCATTTTGTTTCTCTATTTTTTCATTTTGTTTGTCTATAGTTTCATTTTGTTTCTTTATTTTTTCATTTTGTTTCACGATACGATATTTTAGATTATTAATTTTTGTTTTTAATAATTCTATTTTTTCTTGTAATTCAGCAACCTTTTGTTTTAATTCTTTTCTTCTTTTTCGTAATTTTTCAATTTGTAATTCTTGTTGTTCTATAACTTCATCTTTGCTTAAACCTCTGATAACAACAATATCATCTATTGAATTATTAATCAAATTTCGTATTTTTGTATTATTATTTACTATATGTTCTTCTGTCTCAATTTTTTCTATTTTTGTTTTTTCTAGTTGTTGTTTTAACTCCAATTCTTCATATTCACTCCCAGATAGAGGTGACAAAATATTATTATGTGTGTTATTATTTACGTTGGTTATTTTATTTTTGTCCATTATAAAATATATTGTGCTATTAAAATTAAAAAAATAAAGTTAATGTTTCAAAAAATTTAAAGTGAAAAAAAAAATAAAAAAATAAAATAAAAAATTTTTTATTTATTTTATTTTATATTTTAATTTAAATAAAAAAATATTAAATATTATTTAATAAAATTTAGGAAAAAGGATCCGGATTTTCATTTAAAAAAATAGGATTGATCAATCCTAGTTTAAACCTAGATCCTGAGCTATATATTGAAAATATTGAATTGACAGAAACAAATTTAGAAAAAAAAAGAAAAGAATGTCTTAGGAAACAGGAATTACCATTCACAACCAGAAGAAAAAAGAGCCTCAGGTATATTACAAATAAACAACTAAATAAACAACTATTCAAAAACAAAGAGGGAGGATTACTCATCACCCATATACAAATAAACCAAAAAATAGCAACACCAGAATCAGGAGAAGATAAAAAAGATCATACATTAGAAGAAACCTCAAATATCGTGGCCTAATAGACGTAGACATCCTGGTGGGATATTTTAAAATAAATAAAGAAGAATCAAATATCAATAACCATTTGATGAGAACCATTGAAAATGCATGCTTAATAGAAATGCCCAACACGCCACCAACACATGAAAAAATAGTCTCAGATAGATTATTTATAAGCAAAAGAATGGTAACATGGAGGATCAATTATCAAATAAGAAAACCATGGAAAATTTGACCATAAATACAATACATTGGCTTCAAACCACCAAAACAAAATTCACTATGGAAACTCAATCCACTAACAATAAAAGAACTAATTACAATAGAAGAAATAGACGAAATAATCGCTGATTCGACAAAGAAAATGGATTAAAACGACATAATACAATTTAAACAAAAAAAAGTCATAGCCAAAATAATTTTTTTATTCACTTTTTTAATTTTTAATTTTTTTTAATTTTTTTATTTTTTATTTTTTATTTTTTATTTTTCATATTTCGCATAATATTAATTAATTATTCTAATTAGAATGTCACAAGGCAGAGTTAAAGGTATTACTTAGTATAATAATATTACAGATTTAACGTTACACTAAAATAAAACTATTTAATTTGAATTTAGAATTGGTTGATAAACAACTCGGATTAGAATTAATCAGTGCTGGCGAAAAGTTGGTTGTTGTCGATTATACTGCTAGTATGTATATTTAACAACTATTATAAACAAATGCAAAACTATTTAAGTTATCTAATTATTTTATCAAATAATTTAATTTTTTTTATAAAAATAGCCTGGTGTGGACCATGTAAAGCAATTGCACCAATATTTATACAATTATCAAACCAATACCCAGATGTTATCTTTTTAAAGATTGACGTTGATAAATGTAAAGTAAGTTTGTTCATTCAGGAAAAATTTATTTAATAAAGAAAATAATAATAATTATTTCTTTTTTTTATCTCTATAGTTTACTGCAGAAGAACAGGGTATAAGATCAATGCCAACTTTTCAATTTTTTATTAAAGGTCAAAAGATTCATGAATTTAGTGGAGCTGATAAGAACCAATTAAAAGGTTCAATTGAAAGATTAAAAGATTATAAACCATCACCATTTCAAAATATTATATTAAGTGGCCAAGTTGCTTTGGTTGTTTTAGCTTTTGGTTTTTGTTTATATAAAGCTTTAAAAATGTAAAACAAACTGGACAAACCTATTATATATTAAATAATTAAATTACAGAAATAAAATAAAAATGCACATAAATACACTATAAACAAAACTTTCTAAATAATTGATTTTATTTTTTATAGCTAACGAGCACTTTTTAATTAAAAAAATATAATTTTAAAAGTATAATTAATTTATTTTTTATTGCTTAGTACAAACTAAAGTACCATTTGGTACCAAACCTGCTTCTTCAACACTTGTAGTAGAAAGTTCAGCTTGAGTATAAATTTTTCTTGGATAGGTTGTTGAAAGTGTGAATTTACCATGTTGGCTAGTATTTTTTGAAATAAAAGTATGAACATCGATTAATTTAGCAGTAATTGGGAAGGTTCCTTTAATAGTGCTGCCATCTGAGAGACGAATTTGGATCAATGAGTCTGTATAGGTTTTGGCGGGAGTATGTACAACTGGTGCAACAGGAGCTGGGGTTGGTTTTGGAGCTTCAGCACCATTACCAGCTGCGGCATTTTTCTTTGCAATTCTTTCAAGACGGTCAGCTTCGACTTTGGCTTTGATTTTAGCTTTAGCAATACGATCGGCTTCTTTTTCTTTTCTATCTTTTTCAGCCTCTCTCTTCAATTGATCTTCTTGCCACTTTGTGAGAGCTTGTTGTGACATTTTACCACCTTGACGACGACTAATTTCTCTTTCAATTTCTCTTTTAGCTTCATCCTCGGCCTTCTTGGCTCTAATTTCTAAAATTCTAGCTTCTAATTTTCTCTTTTGTTCAGCTCTTTCTTCTGGTGTCATTTGATAGTTTTCGATATCTTTTTCATGTTGAGTAAATTGATGTTCTGGGTTATGTTTTGTTGTATCTTTACATTTTTGACAAAGATCATAATTTGGACAAACATCACATTTATATCTATATCCAATAATTTGTTCTTGACAAACATCACATAATGCACTGTGAATTGTGGTTGGTTGTTCAGTTGTAGTTGTTGTAGTTGTTGATGATGTTGATGATTGTTCAGTGGTTGGTTGTGATGGTGTTGTAGCGGCTGGTGCAGCTGGTGTTGGAGTTGATAAATCTATTCCCTCGATTGGATCATCAATAGTCTCTGAATCCATATTTTCAAAAATCCAATCCATGGCAGTTTGTGAGCTTGAGTTATTTGTAAGTACTAAAGCTTTCTTTGCTCTAAATTCTGGGAAACCCATATCGATTAAATCTCTTAACATAACTGGATCTGGGACGGTGTTTTTTGGTGCTGGTTTAGTTTTTGGTGCATCACTGCCACCCATAAGACTGTTTAATGGATTTGATGATGGTGTTGTGGTACCAACTTGTTGTTGATATTGTCTTTGTTGTTCCTCTTGTTTTTTTTGTAAGCTATCTAAATAGGTTTGGAAACCACCACCACTACCACCGCCACCACCACCACCTAATGCTTGACCTTGTGATGCAAATGAAATTTGTGGTTTAAATCTATCGATTGAATTCTTTAATTGTGATTTATCAGCTCCACTAAACTCATGAACCTTTTGTTTTTCGATAAAAAATTGGAAAGTTGGCATTGCTCTTATACCTTGACTTTGAGCTGTCGACTAAATTAAAAAATAATTGAAATAATGATATATTTAATTAATTTATCCTTTCTTTTCTTTTTTTTTTTTTTTTCTTTTTCTTTTCTAATATAATAAACCTACTCTACATTGATCAACATCAACCTTTAAAAAGACAACATCTGGATATTCATTTGAAAGTTGGGCGAAAATTGGTGCAATAGCTTTACATGGAGGACACCAAACTAAAGATTTAAATGAAAATGATTAGAATTTAAATTAAAAAAGGTTTTATAAATAGTAAATACATACCAGCAGTATAATCAACAACAACTAACTTTTTACCGGCACTGGATAACTCTGATTCAAGTTGGTTATCAACTAATTCTATAGTTTTAAAGTTTAAAATAGAGTATATTAATAAGTATTTGATCTATCTATATAAAGGATAAATTCTAAAACCAATTTAAATAATATTACCTTTAACTTTGCCGTGTGACATATTTAAATTATATTATACAAAATGAAAAAAAAAAAAAAAAAAAATGATTTTTAAAAACTGTTTAAAAATATTTTTGATTATAATGAAAAATAATAAATAATTATTTCTATTACAAATAACATAAAAATATATATGTATATATGTATATGTGTAGTGGTAAAAAAAAAAAATAAAAAATAAAAATAAAAAATAAAAAAAATTATTAAAAAATTAAAAAATATAAAAAAAATATATTTAAAAAAAAAAATAAAAAATAAATTAAAAATTTTGAAAATCACATTTTAAAACTTTTTTCTCATTAATTTGACCTTTTTTTTGAGTCAAATTAATTTAAAATCATATTTATTTTGGACAATAAAAATAATATTTTGTATTTAAATTGTTCTTGATTTATATTGAACTAATTTTTGAAATTATCTTGGAATGATTTGAAATTAATAGGTATTTTAAAGCCATACAGGTGGAGAGGCACTTTGGGAGAATAAAAAGAAACTCATAGTTTTGGGTAAATTGAAAGTTATATGGACACCATACTGAATCACCATATACTACGAGAGATAAACCGGTATTATATAAAACTAATTGAAGGAACCTACTCTGTGTGATGCACATACTGCAAAAGTAGGAGTTGACCAATGACCACCATGAGTTAACGGAACTTGAATCTTAATGAATAGGGCATTTTTGACTTTAATAAAATAAATATGAGTAAATTATTTAATAACTATTTTTATAATATAAATATTGAATAAAATATTAGTTTCTTTTATATTTAAAAATATAAATAATTATTTAAAAATAATAATAATAGTTACCTTTGTAATTATTTTGATTTCTATTTAGGTGTATAAAATTTCTATGGGAATCTATTTCTAAAAACTAATTAAAAAACTATATTTCTTTTTCTTTTTTTGGGATTTTCTAATTTATTCATCACCAAGTTTTAAATTTTTTATTGGAATTAGCAACTATTTCATCAGCTTCGAATGATCTTTTTGAAATTCCATTATTTTTTAAAATATCATCTTTGAATTTTTTTTTGGATTTTACATTGTTTTCATTAACTTCCAATGGTCTCTTTGAAAATTCATTATATTTATTTGATATTTCTTCAAATTTAAACTTCTTTTTGGAATTTTCATCCTTTTCACCAGATTCCAATGATCTCTTTAAAATTCCATAAGCTTTATTTAAATTACCTTCATCATCAAATTTAAATTTTTTATTGGACTCCATATCTTTTTCATCAGCTTCTAATGTTCTCTTTGAAATTCTATTAAAGCTATAGTATGGATTCATTGGTGGAGATTGGTTTTGATGATTTGGTTGCTCATACTGGTTGTTGCATCCATATGGTTGGTAATTTTGTTGTGGATGGTGTGGAGATTGATATTGGCTTTGGAATGGGTTCATTGGTGGTTGTGTTTGTTGTGGTGGAGAATGATGATGATTTTGTTGCTGATAATGGTTAAAATCTCCATATGCTTGGTAATGTTGTTGATGTTGTTGTGGTGGAGATTGATATTGATTTCTTGGTTGGTGATGGTGGTTAAAATCCCTATAAGTTTGATTTTGTTGTTGATATTTTTGTTGATTTATATTATTATTATTATTATTATTATTATAATTATTATTATTATTTTTGATTTTATTATATAATAAAAAACAAATGGTGATAACAATAAAGAAAATAGCAATTAAACTATACATTTTTATGATTATTAAAGTGTGATATAAATAATAAATTTAAAAAATTATTTGTATTTTTGAAATATATAATTTGAAAAAAAAATAAAAAAAAAAAATTTAGTTTGTTTATAATTTTTTTTTAATGAAAAATATTTAATAAATTTATAAAAAAAATTAATTAAAAAATAAAAAATAAAAATATAATAAATATAATAAAATCAAAAAAAATAGTAATGTTTAAACTCAGAAGTGTGAGTTTTTTATTTTTTAATTTTTTTTGAGAATCTAAATATATGTATGTTTTTATTTAAAATTGAGTATTATAATTAAAAATATAATCTAATTTGAAAATTTCTTTAAATTCTCTATAAAATGACATATAAAACATTAACCTTTTCATTCATAAAAAAAAAAAATTTTATAATTTTATTATATATAATTATATAGAAACTAAATAAAATGATACAAACCAGTTATAGTGTATTGAGCTTAATTTATTTCAATTTTATACTTATTGGCCATATAACCTATCAATATTTTATCCTATCTTCATTGGAAATTTCAATAGTTTTATAATCAAAATTGAGCTTGGATACTTTCCACCTAATTTAGACAAGTCCTAAAAACCTAGACCAACTGAATTAAATTACAATATTTTATTTTATTTTTTCTTATGGTTACGTAAATTAATTTTAATACTTACATGCTATATATATTGCTACTAATATGAATGAAGATAATAGCCAACCAAATATACCATTACCGTGTCTATTTACGAAAACTAATGAGCCAATAGTTAAAAATACAGATGCACTAAATGTCACAGTAAAGGCATAACAAAAGATAGGCATCCACTTTCTTAAATGAGAGCCTGGAAATAAGTAAAATACTAGACAAACTGCACCAAGTAAAGTTAAAATATCACCATAAAATGTTGGAGTTTGACCCTTTGCATTATTTCGTTCGATGCTACTGCTGATACTGTTACTGGCACTATTATTTAGACCCCTTTCTTTTAAAAACAAAGAGTGGAATAAAGTTACAATTAAACCCACAAAACCCAAAACACACCCTATTACCTCTCCTTTTGAAATTGCTATTCTTCTAACCAACATTACAATTACCACCATTAATGGGAAGATGCTACAATTTATTAAACTATGTGATAGTGTTGTTTCATATAAAAAAGTGATCCAAAGATTGTAATGTAAATGAACTTTTAAAGTATTAATTTATAAATAAACAATAAAAATATAGATAATAAAATTATATGATTTTTAAGTTTATAGCGAAAATTGAATAAAACAAAAATTTTCCAAAAATATTTTTTTTTTTTTTTATTTTTTATTTTTTTAATTTAATTATTTTTAATAATAATATATAGTCTGGTTGTATTATAACTCTTTAAATTAATAAACTGAACTTCGAATTGATTATAATTAAAAAATACTGCTATTTGTTTATTTAATTATTATTATTGTTAATTAACCTATTATTTAATATAAGTATTTTGGTTAGTAAATCTGCTTCTATCTTCATTATATATAGGTTGATTATTTTTTATAATTTATATGAAAATTAACTTACTTTTGATAACTTTTGATTGTATATGCTATGGCTATATTATAATTGTGTCTTTTGGTGTGTTACTGGGACTTTGTATACGATTGTTAGTGGTGGTTGTTATTGGTATTTATACTGAAGGAATATGGCATTGAGTTGATTATGATATGATGGTCTATTATTAAAACATATTGAATTGAAGTAAATGGGCTATAATTGTGAAGAATTCTTGGCAATTTTCATGTGGCGGCCTTTTAGGAATGTGGCTGTTGTGAATTAAAAAGTTGCGGGCTATAAAAGAAAAAGTGGCACTGGGTCTTAGTTATGGCTACCCCGAAGATTGGCATTCACTTTGTTGATTATTTGATACTTTCGGATGAAAATAACTGTAATTGATATCATTAATTGAAATATAGAATAAAACGATTTAATTAATAGTTTGTTCTTTACCTATTTCATTAAATGAAACAATGAATAAAGAATGTAAATTATTAATTTAATCACTATCAACTTCATGATTAACCGACATCCATATAATCATCTTATTCGGGATAGTATCAATAAAATAACGAAGAAAATGATTTCGGAATTACTTTAGAGATTAATATCGGAATTTTCTTTCTAACCTCTATTTTCAACATTAATTATTGTGCCAGCACCATAACCCTCTCTCTTCAACTTAATTAGTAATGAAATAAATTAATAAACAAAAAAATAATAATAAGTATAAATATGAATGTATGAATTACTTACTTTAATAAAATCCTTCGACATTAAATGACCATTTACTTCTTATTTAAGACCATTTACTTTTCCATTCAATATTTAAATGGAATAGCGCCAATTCTATAGTTTTCGAAAATAATACCTCCATTTTTTATAAGATTTGATGCAATTTCTTTGGATTCAAATTTTAATAAAATCCAATTGGCTGCTGATTGGCGTGGGTATTCAACTTCTAGTATTTTGCCATATTTTGAAAATTCATTAACAACTGATGGACCAATCTCTAATGGGAAACCATAAACTGTGACCCAACGTCTATCGAATTTTCCATCATAGGCATAGCCATAAGCAAAACTGGCGAGGCCAATTGAAATTAATGTTATATAATATAAAATCTCCAAAATGTAATCTAAAACAAAATTATCCATTTTAAATTATTGTTATGAATTATTGAAAGGTTATTTGAAAGTTAATTATAAAAAAAAAAAGTTATTGATGTTATTAAAATTTATTATTGTAAGAATTATTATAATAATTGAATAAATGTAAATAATTATTTGTATGTAAATAAAATAATAAAGAAAAAAAAAAAAAAAAAAAAAATTATTAAATTAAAATAAAAAACTTTAAATTAAAAAAAAAATTAAATTTTAAAAAAATCAAAATTAATTTGAAATCATTATAAAAAATAAATGGGGGTTTCCCACACAAGCTTTTTTATTCATTGTAAAAAATTTTTAAAAAAATTAAACAGTGTGGTTTTTTATTTCAAAAGGAAAAAGTAAATGCCCAAATGTCAAGATTATTAAAAGAAAATTAAAGCAATTGTAGAAATTTTTATAAAAAATAAAAATAAAATTGCCATTATATTTAATGGATTACACTTCCATAGAAGTTCCAATATTTAATTTACATTTATACAATTTCTAAATCTTAATTAATTTTTCAATCTATAGAAAAACCTATTGGGTTTTGTTGATAATTTACTTGTAATTATAATAGATTGTGGTAGTTTTTAATCATTTTTTATAAATATAAAATGTGTTTGGATGGGTTTGGAAAATTAAAAAATATAAAAAAAACCAAAATTATTTTTTATAAATCCAATAATTGATTAATCGAGAAATAAAATTTAATAAAAAATATTTAATAAAATTTTTTATAAAAAAAAAATATATAAATCTATATTATATAGTTTTATATAATATAAATTCTTTTATTTTTTATTTATTTTATTAATATTTTTTTAACCTTTGTACAAATTTAAATTTTTATTTATTTGAAAAAATTTATTAATTAATTGATTTTAATGCATTTACCATTTAAACATTGTTGTTTTAAAATTTCACTTTGTTGTACAATGTGTCTGTATTCGGAACGAGATACATTGAAGGCACCTTGAGTTGGGAAACCATCTTCTAAATGACTTTCAACAGCAATAACAATTTTTTGGTCATTCCATTGACATGATGATGATTCAAAAAGATCTTTACAGACTTGAGATGATGATGAAACAACTGGTTTACCCATTTTATTTTCAATATCAACAGCTGGACCTTGTTGAGTAGCTTTAACTCTAACACAGGTAGCATATGGTTTGTAAGTATGTGGTCTGTATGGTCTAGTTTCTGGTCTAACCATACCTGAACCACCACCACCACCTGAACCACCGCCTGATGAACCACCTGATGAGCCACCTGATGAACCACCTGATGAACCTGATGAACCACTTGATGATGATGAAACAGAGTTGGCTAATGATGAAACAGAGTTGGCTAATGATGAAACTGATGAAGTCATTGATGAAACTGATGAAGCGACTGAAGAAATTGCGTTGGCAGCATTGGCGATTGAGCCAGCAACACCACCACCGTGATGACCGAGTTTACGTGGGAGACCAGTTTTTGGGTCAATGTATAAACCTGAACCACCGCCACCGCCTGAACCACCGCCTGAACCACCGCCTGAACCACCACCTGAACCACCACCTGATGAACCACCTGATGAACCACCACCTGATGAACCTGATGAACCAGATGAACCTGATGAACCAGCAACTGATGAAGCATCAGAGGCTAATGATGAAACAGAGTTGGCTAATGATGAAACTGATGAAGTCATTGATGAAACTGATGAGGCGACTGAAGAAATTGCATTAGCAGCATTGGCGATTGAACCAGCAACACCACCACCACCGTGATGATGGCCTAATTTACGTGGGAGACCAGTTTGTGGATCGATATACATACCTGAACCACCACCACCACCTGAACCACCACCTGAACCACCGCCTGATGAACCACCTGATGAGCCACCTGATGAACCTGATGAACCTGATGAACCAGCAACTGATGAAGCATCAGAGGCTAATGATGAAACTGAGTTGGCTAATGATGAAACTGATGAAGTCATTGATGAAACTGATGAAGCGACTGAAGAAATTGCGTTGGCAGCATTGGCGATTGAACCAGCAACACCACCGTGACCACCATGATGACCAAATTTACGTGGTTTTTCGGTTTCTGGTTTTTCGGCTTCTGGTTTAACCATACCGGAACCACCACCACCACCTGAACCACCGCCTGAGCCACCACCTGAACCACCACCTGATGAACCACCACCTGATGAACCTGATGAACCTGATGAACCACCAGTTGATGAACTACCAGTTGAACCAGCAACTGATGAAGCATCAGAGGCTAATGATGAAACTGAGTTGGCTAATGATGAAACTGATGAAGTCATTGATGAAACTGATGAGGCGACTGAAGAAATTGCGTTAGCAGCATTGGCGATTGAACCAGCAACACCACCACCACCGTGATGATGACCTAATTTACGTGGGAGACCAGTTTGTGGATCGATATACATACCTGAACCACCACCTGAGCCACCACCACCACCAGATGTACCACCTGATGAACCTGAACCTGGTGCATTACCATCACCACTAGTAGCGCCACTACCTTGAGCAGCTGAACTACCACTATCTGGACCGCTTGATGATGAAAGTGATGAAACAACTGAAGCAACTGATGAAACATCAGAAGCTAATGATGATAAAGATGTTGCAGCAGAGTTTAATCCACCAGCAATACCACCACCACCGTGATGACCAAATTTACGTGGTTTTTCGACAACTTCTTCTTCTTTTTCTTCAACAACTGTACAAAGAGTAACAGTATTTCCACATCCAAAACGATTTGAACCAGCTAAAAAGTATGTATTTTCTTTTGAATCACCACATGATGATTGTTCTTCTAAATCTTGTGTAGTTAAATAATATTGATTATCCGATGATAATGAACAACATAACTATAAATTAAATAAATTTTTATAAATTAATTTTTAAATAATAAAACACAATAAAATAAAAAAATAAAAAAAATAAAAAAAAATAAAAAAAAAAAATAAAAAAAATAAAAAAAAAAAGTCGGTGGAGTGGAGGGGGTGTGTGTTTAAATTATTAATATAATAAAGTGATGAATCACTTTATTTATTTAATTCATTGAATCTATAGAAATTTCCTAATGAACAAATGGATCACTTACATCAGTATTATCTTTACAAATTTGAGAACATGTATTTTGTTGAGCACTAATGACACTAAAAACAAGTGCCAATAACACTAAAATAAGTCTCATTTTGAAGAGATAAATATAAATATAAATATATAATTAATGATAAAAAGAAAAGAAAAAAAAAAAAAAATTTATTAAAAACGTGGTATTGGACCAGGAAAAAAAAAAAAACAAAATATAAAAAAATTAAATAAAAAAAAATTAATATTGGAATTCCGCAGCTGTACAGTAAATTTTTAATTGTTTTTTTAAAATTTAAAAAAAAAAAAAAAAGTTTTAAAATATCTTTTTTTTTTTTCGAGTTTAATAACGGAAACTTTTCCACATACTTTTTTGTTTAATACTAAAAAAAAATAAAAAGGTGGTACCAATAAATTCCTATTTTTATGAAAAAAGAAAGAAATTAAATTATAATTTAATAAAAGCCAAGAAAAATCATTTGAAAATTAAATATCCTAAAGATGGGTTGGGTAATAAAAATCCGATTATTTTAGATTTAGATATCTTTAAGTTTTGTTTTTACAAAATAAAAATATTATTACATTTCAAATTATCCAATTGATAATATATCAGTTGAAAAAAAAAAAAAAAAAAAAAAAAAAGTTGGGGTATTTGCTAAATTTTTTTATTTTTTTTATTTAAAAATATAAATTTCAACTATGAATAATATTTTGAAAATTTTTGTAAAATATGATTATTGAAATTTCATTATATTCAAAATAATAAGATTTTGTAATTTATTATCATTATAATAGTGATTAATTATTAATTCCTTTAAAATGAAAATTTTAAAATATTTAATCTTTGCAAACATTATTATTATAATTTTTTTTTATTTTCATAATAACCATTTCCATAATTATATTTATGTTTTACAAAAAAACATATTTGCTATATACACCCACAGATTTATATAACGACAAAATTTTGTTTAAAAATATTTTTTTATATCGGAAATTTTGCTGACAAAATTTTTTTTTTACAAAAAAAATATTTAAACATTTTTCAAAAAAATAAAATATAATATTAATAGATAATAAATAATAAATTGGTAAAAAATATAATCATCATAATAATATACTAATTTGATTCAAATAAAATTAATATTATTATTATCAATATTATCATTATTATATATTCAACAAAGAACATTGTAATATATTTCGTTTTTATCATCAAATATTATCTATAGAGCCATTTTTCCAAAAAAATAAAAAACCAATTGCTGTCTACCATTTTTTATTTACTCAAAAAACCGATAAAATATATATCTATTCAAAATTTCAAGTAATTAAGCAAACTAAGAAACAAATGAAGTAATGAGGAGACCATTTATTAGCCCTTAAGCAAACATCATTTGTTTCAAACTCGATTGGCTTCTCTTATTTGCCACCAACCATTACTAGTTACACCCAAACGAGCACAAGTCTTTTAATTAAAGGTACCAATTTGGGTCAAGATCTATTAACCACCACCATTACAATTGGTTCAAATGCAATTCAAACAGCAAGTCTCACCACCTCACATACTACGATATTTTTAACAATCCCATATACTCAACAAAATGGTCCATTAGCTATCATTGTGGCCAGCGAGCTTCAATTGATTTTAAACTTACACCAGGATTAGCTTCAATTTCAAGCCCACCAGTTTCAGGGGGTGTGGTAACAGTTGTCGGTACCTTTATGAGCAATCAAAAATCGGATGGTAACCCGTTAAGCTTTGTATTAGATACTAGAAAATCACAAACACCATGTTACTTAATTTCTGCTCCAACAACCAATATCGACAATAAATATAGCTGTATGCCAAGGGGGTCAGGTTCTTTTAATTCATTTTTAACCATTGATGGAATAAATTTATAGCACTATCCCTCTTTATATTCTTAGTGGTAAAATAGAAGTTTCCAATAAACTTACCAAGTCAAACAGTTTTACATTTTATTTCAAACCTTATAATATCTCACTTATCACCCCAATATTAGATACTGCTGGGTTTGTATAAATTGTTGCTTAGTTTAATGGCAGAGGTCTATTCATTTGATGGTTGTATACCAGTAAATGGTAGTTGTCCACCAGCAACTGGTGGTGTATGAATCTATTTAATCTATAAAAATATTTAATAAAATAAAAATCTAAATTTTAATTAGTAAATTTAAATTGATTGATGTTTATTATTAAATGGTGAAAAAAATGTGTTATTGTATTACTATGAAATGATATAAAATAAGTGAAGTACATTATATACAGAAGAAAATGGGTGAAAATTTTATTTTATTTTATTTTTTAAATTTTATTATTAATTTAAAAAACGCTATTTTTTAATATTTCAAAAATTATAATTATAAAAAATATCTTATAAATAGTTGTTATATCACTTTTGTAATAAAAAATATAATGAAAGCCAATTATCTGTATATTTTTAATTAAAAAACTTTTAAATAATTTAATATATTTGTGCTAATTATTTTTTGTAAAGAAGATTGATAAAAGCTATATAAAAAATAAGTAATAAATGTAAGATATTATTAAATATCTCTATTAATTGTATAAACTTAGATAGAGCAATATTAAAAAACAAATAGAACATTATTTTCATAAAAAATATAAAAAAAAATTATTAAATAAAGGGAAATTGGAATAGCAGCTTCAAAATAAATTAAACTAAATATAAAAAAAATAAACAATAAATAATAAAATGATCAAGTAAAATAATTATAATTGTTTTTAAACTTTATTATAAATATATAACTACACCTCGAGCTACATTTTTTTCATTAATATGCAAAAAAATAAAAAACTAAATAGAAATAATAAAAAAGAGGTTCGAGGTGTAATTTATTCAATTAGAATTAAACTAAATAAAGATTAAAATTTATATTTAAATAATTAATTTACCCTATTTTTAAAATCTTTTTTTTTCAATGTAATAGCTTACCTAGGTAATATGGATATCAATCGAGAGAGAATTTTATGAAATTTTTAAATCAAACATATATTTAATTAATATTTTAAATCTAAATTTTAAATAAAAAAATAAGGTAGAAACTATTATTTTATCATTATTATAAAGAAAATAAACAATTGTTTTTTTGTTTTATTTTTTTTTTTTTAATTGTTTATAATTTTTTAATTTTTTAAAAAAGAGTCTTTAAAAAAATTTTTTTTTTTTTTTAATTAAAAATTATAGCTTTACAACACACACATAATTTTTCATTCACCAGCTTTTTTTTATAATAGCATTCAAATAATAATATTCGTTCATTTTTACACACCTTTTTTTGTAAATAATATATATCTTTTTTTTGTAAATATTTTTTTGTATATTTTTATATTATTTTTTTTTTTGTACATTTTATTTGTAAATAATTTTTTTTGCAAACAAAATGTATGAATTTTTAAACTTGTGTGTTTATTTATTTTTTGTTGGTACCCTCTGTTGGAAGTTACCATCTTTTATTGGTAAATTCAGATTCAACAACACCAAAAGAAACAACAAAGAAAATGTTGACTGCCAATGTTGGAACAGTGAAGTCAATTACTGGGCAAGTCAAGTACTCCAACAAAACCAACTACAAGAACCACAAGAACACCTCCAACACATCCAAAACCTCCAAAAACCCCAACTACTCCATCTTTACCAAGAACAAGAGCACCTCGAACAACCTCAACAAAAACAAAAAAACCAAGAACAAGAACACCAAAAACTCCAACCAAAAGAACCACATCAATCACAACCACAGCAATCCCAACAACCAATTCCACAAGGACCAATCCCATTCATCCAGCTAATTCGTCAGCAACCACAACATCAACAACCACAACAATCACAACAACCAATCCCATTTCTCCAACGAATTAGTCAACAATCCCAACCCCAACAAACACAGCAATCACAACAACCAAAACAATCACAACAACCAATTCCAAAGCAACCAATTCCACAACAACCAATTCCACAACAACCAATCCCATTTATCCAACGAATTCGTCAGCAACCCCAACCACAACAACCACAGCAACCACAACAACCAATCCCTTTCATCGAACGAATTCGTCAGCAACTCCAACAACAACAAATTCATTCACAACCAACACAACAACGCCAAACCCAAAATGCTCCAATAAAGCCAAATGAAATCGATTTATCTTTGGTCAATTCAAATGGAAGATTAAGTTTAGATCCAACTCCATTGAATGAAACAGAAAAGGCATATATACGTTTAAATGAACGTATCGAACTATACCAACTAATGCCAAAAAAGGAAATCCCAGGTGATGGTAATTGCCAAATGCATGCGCTATCAGACCAGATATTTGGTGACTTGGAGCATAGTGTAATAATAAGAAATAATATTGTAGATTGGCTTAAACAAAATAAAGGTTTTTACCTTCCAAATGGAGAAACCCTCTCAGACTTTGTAACTACAAACAGTTGGGAGGAATATTGTGATAGTATGTCCAAAAATGGCACATGGGGCGATCATTTAACATTGGTCGCTGCAGCTGAAATTTATAAGATAAATATTTCTATAGTATCTTCAGTTGAATCACAGAGTAGTTCTTTCATAGAAATTACTCCAAGCATTAAATGCGAGAATGGAATTTTGTTATCACATTTTGCAGAATTCCATTACGGTTCTTTATGCCCATTAGCCAATTAAACCATTATATCAGTAAGTTATTTTATTTTCCCACTATTATTTTTATAAACTATTTTATATTAATTCATTTTATTTAATAAATTATATTTTAGCAATTTTTTTAAGCCATAATCAAGTAATATACAAAAATTCTAAGCCGTCTCTAGCCATGTTGTACATGTAGTATCATTTACAGTAAAAATCTTATTTTATTGAATATTAAAGTAGGGATTCATTTTTTGTTTTTTAATAATTTATAATAATAACTATTCACTATAATCCATAAATTGTGTCAATTATCACTGCCTTTTTTTAAATTTTAAAAAATTTGGATATTATAAAAAAAAAATTTTAAAATTTCTTTCAATTTTTTCCAAACAAATAATTTTAAAAGCTCTTAAATATAAGTAAGTAAATAAGCACATTATTTTATAAACAAAAACAATCTATTTGGATATGGGATTTATTTGTTAATTATGAATTACTAACACAAATTAATTTTTTATAATATTTAGTGTAAAGTCTTGACAAAGTTGCAGTGTCTTTTTAATCGGGTAGTTTCATCAACCTCTAGTTTTTTTCAAGTGGTATAATCGGACTCATTAGTGTACCAAGTAGTATCTATTCTATAACATTTGTTTTCATTAGGTGGTAATGCAAAACATGTTTCATCAAATAGAACTATGAAATAATTTATATATGGTAGTGTCGCACAATCATCTGGACCAGTGGTGCTATAGAAGCCTCAAGTAGTATGGAATCTGGATTGAGTAGTGTAGAACTAATACATCAAGTGAATAATTTATTTCATCAAATAATTGTGGTTTAGAGTCTGATCCAAATAGTAATGGCTTAGAACCGGCACCAAGTAGCAATGTAGAATCTGGATCATGTATTTCTGTAAAATCTACTGTGAATCATTTGTTTCACCAAGTAGTGTAGAGTCTGGATCAAGTTGTAGTGTGGAATCTGCTACATCAAGTAATAGTGCAGAATATGTTGTACCAGTTACAGCTCCTTAGAATATGTTTCATCTAGTGATGTTTCATCTTAGCCAACTGGTGGTGACTATGCAGCTCAAAGGGTCTAGCAGTTCGGGAAAATATTTGTATAAATAAATAAGAAAAAGGTGTAACCATCCATAACTTTTTGAAAGTGCTGAAGAGTCTTGGTATTATTATAAAGTTGTTATTCTTTTTGATAGTGATTGGAACCCCCAAATGTATTTTTAACTCAAGATTGTGGTAAATTTCTAACCAACCAAGTAACCAATGAAGCTCATCCAACCAGTCAAGTAACTAATGATAGACCTCATCTATCTACTCAACTATTTTATTAATATCATTAATTGCTCTGGCCAAGCAACTATGACCATAGAAATCAAATAGTTTTGGGAGAAGAGAAACTGAAGCTTCCGTGTAACTATTAATCAAGCTAGGGGAACAGTCACAATGGTGTTATTTATTTAAATATATTTAAAAATATTCTGCAAAGGAATTAGTATCTGAAAGAGGTAGTCCAATTACATCGTCTTCTGTTATAACAAAATGATTTAATAGTTAAATCTGGACAAAATATCATAGCTTTGGTAATTATTGGCGGCAATAATAGACAACCAAATTTGGGCAAAACTTTAAAATTTGTCATTTAACAACAATAATAATATAGAAAATAACATTTTAAATTAATTTTTAAATTTAATCTTTTTTAATAATTAATATTTAATTAATTTTCCCAAATTATTTAATTTTATTTAATTTAATAATAAAAATAAAAATATTCGATAACATTTAATTTCTTTTTTTTATTTTTTTTTTATTTAATTATTTTTTTTAATTTTTTTTTTTAATTTTTTTTTAATTTTTTTTTAAAATTTTTTTCATTTAATTTTTATTTTGCAAACGTTAACAAAGCCAGTTTTTTTTTTTTTTTTTTTTAAACTATATTACATTTTATTATTTAATAAAGTTAATCACAAAATTATAAATAATCACAAGCAAATTTTATATATTATAGTATATATATAAATATAAAATTATTTTAAATATTTATTAAAAATTGAATTAAATTATGGCCACAAGAGATAGAACACCAGCATTTAATCTTTTAAAATCAGAATTTAAAAATAGAAGACCAAGTAAATCATATAATCAATCAGAATCTGATGATGATTCAAATAATGTACCGTTGGTTGCATTAAAAGGTACTTCATCAGGGGGAAATGCACAGCCACAATTAAAAGAGTTAAATGTTTTACCACCATGGATGCAAAAAATAAATGATATAGATTTAAATCTTAAAAAGATTAGCGAGTTAAGTAAGAAATATACCTTCTATATATATTTGGAAAATAGCAATAATATTATCATTTATTGGATTTCTAATATTATTTTCTTTTATTTATAGTCGATAAATTAAAAGGTTATCATGATAAAAATTTATTACCAGATATGAGTATGGAGGATCAATCAGATTTAGAAAGATCAATTGAAATTACAACAACAGAAATCACAAGAGTATATATTATAGTTTGAATTATTATTTTGTTATAATTATTATAAACAGATATTAACGATTCAAATATTATTTTAGTTATTCCACAAAACTCATGATTATATTAAAAATTTAGGTAAAGGTGCAAATTTATCACCAGAGGATCAAAAGATGAAAAAAAATATTCAAAATTCCAAATCAGCCAAATTACAATCATTATCATTAACATTTAGACAAAAACAAAGAATATTTTTAACAGCATTACAAAAAAGGTCAAATGCATTTTCAGAATGGGGAATTGATTTTAATGATGAGGAGGAGGGTGGTGTTGTTGATCTAGATTTCTCTGACGAGTTAAAACAGGTTGTAGATCATATGGAATTGGAAATTACTCAAAGAGACCAAGATATTCGTAAAATTGTAGCTTCAATTAATGACCTTTCACAATTATTTCAAGATATTAGTATTTTAGTTGTTCAACAGGTATGTTATAGAATAGTTTAATTAAAAACAATCGATAATAGTTTATAAATGATAAATGGAAGATAATTATAAGCACAGTAATATTTAGTGTAGATAATTAATTATTGGTTTTGTTTTAAATTTTAGGGTACATTGCTTGATAGAATTGATCATAATTTAGAAACAGCATACGAGGATGTTAAACAAGGTACAGTAGAAATTGAAGAAACAAATCAATTACATAAAGAATATAGAACAAGACTTTGTATTTTAATGATTTTAGTAGCTTTAGTAGTTGCAATGGTGTTTTTATTTATTCTCAGAATTATTTTTTAAAATATATAATAATACAATATATAATATAAATAATTTTTTTCAAACAAATCTAATAAATTACGATAAAAAAAAAAAACCCAAATTCTAAAACAAAATATCATTTGGTAATACTACTTTTTAATTTTTTATTTATTTTATTTATTTATTTATTTATTATTTTTATATTTTTATATTTATATTATAGTTATTTATTTTTATTTATTTTCGATTATAAAATTTGAAATTATTAAATTATTATTTTTAAAAGTTGATAATATTAAATTTAAGTGGAATGTTACAGCCCTATATATTTCATCGATTTCTACCTGATTCATTTTTAAAAGACAACCATGTCTCATCGCCATTTCTTGAAGCTTAATTAAAAACATCGATTGGTTTTGATTAGCATCTTGGATCCAACCTTCAATGATTTTAATAATATCTGAATTATCAATAGTTTCAAATGATTTTAATTTAAATTCATTTGAATCTTGTTGATTACTCAAATAGTTTTTAAATGATTCATTACTTGCAATATTATCATTGAGGTCAGAGTCATCATTTATGTGGCAATTAATTGATGATTTCTTTAAGATATTCATTAAATCGATATATCTCTCTTCTAAATAAAATGGATTATGTTGGAATTTTGCCATAAGGGCCCAATATTTTCTACCTATGTGGTCGATGAGTTTACAATAATTGTTTTTAAATGATGATTTTCTTGCTGGTTTGTCCTATATTTATTTAAAAAAAAATTTATTAATAAAAAATTTGAACATAAAGAAAAAAGCAAAATTTAAAACTTACAGAATTATCACCTTGTTTGTTAATATTTTGTATAAAAATAATTGAGTTGATTTTTGATATTGATTTATAATAATTTAAATATTGATTAAAATCGTTCAAGTTATTGCAATTTGAATCCATTGAAATAATTGTATCAAATTTATTTTCCCCTTTGAAATTCTCGATAAAGTTTGATAGCTCCATGTTGATAAATTGTACATTTGAATATTTATTATTTAAATTGGATAGATGATATTGATATAGTTCTTTGGATTCTATTAAAATTGTTAACTTTATATTGCTATTATTGTCTAAATAATTCTCATTTATTAAATAATAAGATAAATTACAACCGATTTCTAAAATTCTAATTTCACCAGTATTATTATTAATATTTAGTTTTTCTATAATTTCTTTAAAGTTATTATTTGAATTAAAAGTATATTGATTTTTAATTTGATTTTTATGATTAAATAAAAAGAATGAATAGATATTCTCGATATTTATAAATTCTGAAATATCATTCCAAATACTTTTTTTGTCGAGACTTGATGGGGTGGATGTGTCGGTATTTGTTTTGGAGATGGTTAAGTCACATAGTTGGATTAATAGCTCTGGTAATTTTTCACAAGTAAAATCTTCGCACATATATGCTAAACCGATTGCTTTCGAGCTGAATGCTTTTAATGGAGTTGATGGTTGTGATGATGAAGTTATTTTATTAAATAAAAATAATTTCCAAAAGAATTCATAGTTTTTAATTGAGATTTTAATTGGCTCTCCAGTATCACTATCACATGTATTAATTTGTATGAATTCGGTGGAGTCTGGTAAATACAATTCAATATTAATATTTTTGAATTGTTTTACATAGTCTAAGAAAAAATTGTAAGCAGCTAGCTCGTTTGCAGATGGTTTGATAAGAATTGTTGTATTCTCTAATGGGGGATTTGGCTTGGCATAGATTTTCAAACTTTTACCCCAATGTAATCTACCAGCCTCGTATAAAATTCTTGGTACAGTTTTAAAGGCAGCAATTGGATAACGCAATAAAAGCTTTAGAATATTAATACTTGAAAGCTCGAATGGTTGTTGGGTAGACCACAATCTTGTCATTAAAATATAGTCATAAATTGATTTGTTTTCTTTATTTGGTTCACATGGCTTGGTGATGTTTAAACTTGGGCTATTTAACGAGGACATTAAATTGATTCTAATATCAAAACATTTTTCTAAATCGCAAAAGTAAAAGTCATAGGCACCATCTAAAGAGTTGAAAGGACTAACATGAAAATCTTTAGCAATTGAAAATCTTTTAAGGAATGGCTGTTCACCAATTGAGTTTTTAAATGGATACTTTAAATTTTCATCTCTGAATTCAGTTGGTGTTGGAAAATATAAATGGGTTTCACCAAATGTATTATTAATTTCGGCTACAACTTGAAGAAGGTTCATATTTTCGTCATAGCAATAGTAAAAGTTTACTGGGTTAAATGAATAGTTGAAATAACGAGGGTTGGTAATTAGTTTTACAGCTTTAATTGCATCAATATCAACTTTGTCTTTATCGCTGGGTTGGTTCATCTGATGAATTTTAAATCTTTCGATAAGTTTCTCTTTGATTGGTCTATTTTCTTTTCCCATATAATCGGTATTATTGACTGTAATAACTCTTTTCTTGTTATACCCAAATAAATAATTATCTAAAGTTCCATTTTCTAATTCATCTAAATCTATTATAAAATAAAATACTGAATATGAAAATGTATGTTTAACTGGATTAATTCTTGAATGATAAACATCACACAAATAATATTTTGATAAAACCATATTTTAATATTAAATCATTAATAGTGGCTAATTATTAATTGATATATAAAAACAGGTATTTTTTTTGGTGTTAGGGATTATTATAAAAATACAATAAATATGAAAAAAAAAAAAAAAAAAAAAAAAAAAAAAAAAAAAAAAAAAAAAAAGTTAAATTATTTTGAAGCGTGCTAAAAAATAAAAATAAAAATAAATAAAATTTTTTAAAAATAAAAAAAAAAATCCCCAAAAGGAAATTAAAAGGGAACCCCTTCCCCCCCTTTAAAAATTTGGTTTTGGGAAAAAAAAAACCTTTTAAACTTTTTATAAAAAAAATTTGAAATATTGGTTTTTTAAAAAAAAAAAAAAAAAAAAAAAAAAAAAAAAAAAAAAAAAAAAAGTTAAATTATTTTGAAGCGTGCTAAAAAATAAAAATAAAAATAAATAAAATTTTTTAAAATTAAAAAAAAAATATCCAAAATGAAAATTAATAGAGATACCATATCCATCTATTAAAATTATGATTTTGGTAGAATAAAATCATTTTAAACTTTTATTATAATAAATTTGAAATATTGTTATTTTAAAAAAAAAAATAAAAAAAAAAAATAAAATGATGAAAAAAAGAAATATTATTTTTATTTATTGAATCCATATACATCATAAGATTTAAAACAGAAATAATAATAGCTAAAATAAAATAAACCATGGCCTAAAAATAAGAAAATTTTTACTATGGTGTGATATATTTTACTTTTTGAGAAATTTTGAAATTTAGCTTCCAATACAATAAAAACCCCACATCCAATTAAACTAAGAGTAGCCCAAGGTACACATACATCTCTAGTAATTGAAATAACAAGAATTTCATGGAAAAAGCCACTAAAAACCATAGTTGCAAATACACACAATACATTGCTAAATTTAAAGAATGATCTTCTAAAAAAATTTTTTTTTTTTAGTACAATAATTTTTTTTAAAAAAAACCATTTTATATTTTTTAACTTACAAATCTGAAAGAATATGTCTATATAGCCACGAATGAACTGGCTTCGACCAACGGCTTAAAATTTGTTTCGAGGTTTCGGCGTCCCAATAATTATCATAAAATGATAAACGATCTTTAAAATTTGTTAAATCTGCTAATAAAGATAAAACACAATGATACAAAAGGTAATATTGTAAATGGAATGTAATCTCTGCGGGGATAACGATTTTTAAATATGCATAAAAATCTGGGTTTTCTACTAAAGGTGGGAAAATATATTCAACATCTAATATTGACGAATAAAAATAATTTTATTAATATTATTTTAAATAGTTTTTTTTTAAAAATACATACGAATATAATGAATGGTTATCATAACAGCAAACGAAGAGTACAATTCTTTCAAAAACTCGAAAATTCTGGTTGTTAATGTTTCGTTTGGGACTGTTTGGGAAAATTTTTTAACTTCAAAATATTGGTCATAAATTAAAGTTGGTGTAAAAATGAAAACAAAATAATCGTAAAAATATTCTAAAAAAATAAAAGAAAAGTATATTAATATAATACTTTACTATGAAAGAAACATTATAAATAACTTACGATAAAGTGTTGTGTAGTCTATTTGATACTGGATTTGGGATCTCTTTAAATGATCATCTTCCTCTTTTTCTTCGGGTGTCATGTTTTTTCTGTGTAATGATTCATAGTTGGTTACAATAAAATAGGAGTGTGCTTTCCATTCAATAACGATTGTAACCAGACCTAAATAAAAGGTTGTTCCCATTGGATATTTATGACTAAAAATTAAATAAATTGCACTTAGACCAACTAACATTTGAATAAATCCGTAACAGCAAAGTAGTTTTGCTTTTTTGTTAAAAATTGAAACTTTTTTTTTATGATATAAAAAGTTAACCAATGGAATTAAAAATGAAATTGAATGCATTGCCTATTTTTTTATTTAAATAATTTTTTTAGTTTTTTTTTTTTTTTTTTTTTTATAAAATATTAAATTATACATACTATTAAACCCTTTAGCAATTCAAATGGATTAATGAAAATAACAGAGAGTAACGAAATATGATGCACTAATTTATTGATACCATGGTTTCTTTCATCAAGAGCGATATATAATAGAATTAGGGTGAAAATTAAAATTCTATTTTTATGAATATATTTATGTAACGAAGGTTTTGTTCCTGGTGGATCCTTAAGATCTAAATATGCTTTTGAAATTGTAAATTTACGTCCATATGTTTTTGGATTAATAACAACAACTTGATCTGAATTATAATATTTTTCGTTTTCTATAACAGATTTTGTTTTTTTGTGGCTATTCAAATTTCTATTATTTGATATAGTGGTAGTTGAAGACATTATTTACAAGTTTAGTATTTAAATAAATTTTATGAAATAATATTAAAAATAACAAATAATATTTATAAAAAAATATAACAATATTTATTTACTAATGAGTGTATCTAAAATAAATGTAAATTTATATTTTATATTAAAAAAAAAAAAATTTATTATTTTGAAAAAAATTTTAATTTAAAAAAAAAAATATATTTAAACACCACACACACACACACATTAAATAAAAAAAGTATTAGCATAATGATTAAAAAAATTTAATTTTCCCTTTTGGGTTTTAAAATAATTTTATTCAAATAAAAAAAAAACATTTATTTAAATATTAAAAATTTTATTTATTTGATATGGTTTTTTTTATTTTTATTTTTGTCCATATATTGTATTAAATAGGTGGCTATGTTCCTCCAAAGCATGAATACCTTCAGTTGGATCTATTTGTGGGTTAATATTTGGCTCCTTATCCTTATTAAATTGTTTATCTATATCTTTTCTCCATTCGTCTTTGATATCGATTTTTTTTTCCCCACTATTATCGTAAAGGTTTTTATTTTTTGACATATTTGATTTTGAAGTTCTTTGGTAATTGTTTATATTTGTTTTAAATAATAAATAGATAAAAAAAATAAAAATAAAAATAAATAATTAAAAATTAAAAATTTTTAAAAAAATAAAAAAATTTTTAAATCATTCAGGGTTTTTAATTAATTTTAATTTTTTTTTTTTTAATATTTACTTATAAGTTTTTAATTTTCAAGAGATTTAAAAAAATAATTTTATTTTATTTTATATTTTACTTTTTAAAAAAAAAAAATTTAATTCATTTTTTATAAAATTTACACTTTTTTTTTAATATTTCATAATCTCGACAGTATTTTTATTAATGTGTAATTTATTTATACTTAAAAGCCACATTACATATGGAGTTTTTTGGTGAGTAGCTATGCAAAAACCAATTGTAAAGTAACTTTTAAGTATAAATAACATTACATATGAGGATTATCACTTGGAAGATATATCTCCGAGAAGATATTTCTCTGCAAAAGGTATCGACAGCTGCAGGGTTCGAACCTGCGCCTCCGAGGAGATCTGATTTCAAGTCAGACGCGTTAGACCACTTCGCTAAGCTGTCAATTTGATGAGAATTGTTAAAATCTGGACCGTCACGAAATTTTTAATAAAATATGGAAAAGAAAACCATCAAACATTTCACCTGGGAACTAAACTATGAAAGGGTACCCTCAAGAGATTCAAATTTGGTGTTGGAGGAGTATAAAACAAAAAAATACAAAATTTATGTGCTTGAATAGTTTTATTAAAAATTCAAACTAAATATTTAAAAAAAAAAAAGTAAATAAGAAATCAAATTTTTTAAATATAAACTCTTTATTTAAAATTATTAAATTGTTTCGTTTTATATTTTTTTTTTAAAATAAATATATGTTTAAAAGGTTTCTAATTTCTTTAAAGATCGTTTTTTTTTTATACTATTATTTTATTTTTTAAGCAGATTCTCTTCTTGAAGAAACAAATTTACCATTAAATCTCTTACTACCCAAGATACCCATAATACCCAAACCAGTTAAAAGAATAGCAAAAATAGCGGTTGGTGCGATCATTAAATCCAATGAAGTAACAGCTTCGATACAAACAATATCTTGAACATCTTCAACAAATGGAATTAGATTTGAACATTTAATAAGTGGTTGAACTTTTTGAGACCATAAATTTTGAAGGTCATCAAAAGTATTATAGAGTGTGGAAATTTCTGAAGCAACTCCTCTAACTTCAGTATTAAGACAACTGGTACCACAAGCACTAACACCGGCTACATCTTTATAATTACAAGTGCTCCATGTTACACCAAGTTTGGCTGGATCGGTAAGATCACCTTGGCAAGCAGTGGTAACACCGCAATCAGAATCTGGATTAATACATTGGAATTGGAAATCATGAATAGTAGAATTCATATAGAAACCCAAAGTTTCTGGACTATTACATTCTTGGGAAGGACAATCAATGATATTATTAAGGGTATAACTAGCTGGACCAGCTGGTGGAACAGCTGGGTCAATAATTTTTGGATATTTCTTGTCACAAACATTGCTAATCTTGTCGCATGAGACCTTGGTACCATTTTGAATCATTTCTGTTACTAAATCATCCACTTTGACAAATACAGAAATGGTGTTAGATTCATTTTTACAACTATCGAAAACTTGAGAAATAATTGGGTTGGAGAAGTTTGAGAATTGATCAAAGCCAGTTGAATTATATGAAACACAAACATCTGCAATAACACTGTTGATTGGATAATGAACAGAAAATACAATCCACATGAATGGAATTAAAAGAACCATCAAAATTGCACAATAACGAGCGAGTTTTGGAAGATTAAAGAGAGCGGCAATAGCAAGTAAACCAGCGGCAACCATACAAAATACTAAACCAATAACAATAATCTTAGTTCTAATATTATTAACATCTTTAGCATTTTTACTAATATCTTCACCATCTGATTGAATATTTTGACCATCTTGAATAACACCTTCTAATTGTTGTCTAACAGATTGAATATCTGAAAAACTTTCGTATTTTGTATTATTTAAATCTGTAGCAATATCATTTAATTGATCTAAAGTTGTACTGGTTTTATTTAAAACTGTATCACTTAAATCATTAATTGATGTAGTTGTATTTGAATTTCCTTTTAATGATGTAATAAATACAGCACTATAAATATAATAAAAAAAAAAAATTAGTTTTTATTATATATTATATATTATATATTATTTAAAACTTACACGCAACCGGCAACAAAAACAAATACTAATATCTTCAATATCCAAACTCTACCAGTTCTATAACCTTCACCAATATCTGGATCATATTTTGGACCTGGACACATACAACCATGGGATGGTTTTAAACCTCCAAAGCAAATGCATCTGAATATCCAAAAAATAATACCAAAAACTAATGTAATAGCGGCAATAATTAAAGTGATAGCTGAAAGTAAAATAATAGCTTCAATATATTCGTTCCATTGGCAATCGTCGATTGGTGTACCACCACAAAATCCCTCTGGATATCTTTCTAAATGGCCATCGGTTGTAAAAAATGTATATCTTGCAATGTCACGATATCTGTCAATAATATCCAATGCTTTTTCTTCGGCTGATTTTGATTCTACATTATTTATAAATAATAATGATAAAACTATTAAAATTAAAAAAAGAGTTTTTTTAATCATTTTTATTTATATTATAATATTTATTACAAATTAAATAAATAAATATATATATGAGTGTTGATGGGTATAAATAAATAAGGAAAAAATAAAATAATTTTACAAATAAAACCCAAATAAAAATAAAAAAAATAAAAAAAATAAAAAGATTTTTTTTATGATAAAAAAAAATTATAATTGAAAATTAAATTTTTTGTATATAAATCAACAGTTATTATTATTATTATTTTTATTATTATTTAAAATGAAAAAAAAAAATAAAAATAAAAAAATATTTAAATTGTTTATTATAATACTTTATTATTTATTATTTATTTTTATTTTAAATTTTGTTTTTTTTTGTGCTAACAACGTTAGGTGGGTTATCAAATAAAAAAAACAAACACAAATAAAAACAAATTTAACAAAAAACTATTTTTAAAAATGAAAGAAAAAATAAAAAAATTAAAAAAAAAATTAAAAATATATTTTTTTTTTTTTTTTTTTTTTTTTTTTTTTTTGTGCAACTACTCCGTTGGTTATAATATTATTTTAACCACTTTTCAATGAATGCGCGATGTGAATCTTAATTGTGTTTTTTTTTTTTTTTTTGATAATAGAGAATAAATTTTATATTGCATATGTGGTCAGCTTAAAAAATCAAAAAATCTGATATTTTGGTTTAAATATATGGGGGGCTGACCTGTTTACATAAATACATATTTTTACTTTTATTTATTTTTAATTATATTTTTGATTGCTTTTATAATTTAAAGAAACAGTTTAAAGAAACAGTTAAAAATAAAATAATAAAAATAAAATAAATAAAAAATATTTTTTTGATAAGATAGGAGTATGCATTAAATTTTCTTTTTGATTTTTATTAGTATTGGTTAATATAGAATAATATAGCCGCTATCATAGCCTACCAATAATAAATAAATTTATTTTAATCTTTTTATTGATTTTAAAATTGATTTTTTTAATGTGTTGTTTTTTTTAAATATTGTGTTTGTAACTTCGTCACTTTAAAAAAATTTATTTTGTTTTGTATAAAATTATAAAAAAAATCAGCCAATATCATCATGGGCATTGTTTAACACGAGCATCAGTTATTTATAAAATAGCTCAAGAAACAACTTGAAAACAATACTAATCCTAGTAGCTCTTTTGCTTCCAAATTCCTGATAGTGTTACCATAAAGCCAGACTTCCAAATTTTTAAACTATTTAAAGGATAGTATTTTCAAAAAAAGTTAGTAAAGAAAGCAATCAACCAAAATAAAGTATCAACACTCGCATGGGTATGCTTATGTATAAATCAAATCCTTTTAGTCTCACTCTTCCCTACCATCTAAGAAGTATTATGAAGAAGGATTAATGAAAATAAAAATAACATTTTAGTGATGAATAATATAAAAAAATACATTATAATTTAGAAAAATGAATAAAATAAATAAAATTAAAAACCTTATGTTTTATATTTAAAGATTAAAATTAATAAATTATTATTATATATAATACTATTATTATTTTTTATTTTTTTTTATTATAAATATTTAATATTTATAATATACCCCAAATTTCTACAACATTTGGGATAAAGCTATCGGGGTCTTTTGAAAGGTGTGGGTTATCAAATGTTTCACAAGGACCAGTTGAACCATGATGAAAATCGTTATCCATCCACAAACCAAAATGACTACCACCACCAATTGAAATATAGTCATGGCTAGTGTACATAAAAAGATCATTCTTTTTAGTCCATGTGTGAATAGCAAAGACTGGTTTAATTGAAAAGAGGAATGTTTCACCTGATCCATAGAAAAAGTCTTTTTTGCATTCAATTTTATCGGAAAGAAAGGCGCCAAATATATAACCGTGTTCATCTTTAATTAACATTATAGATTTTTCAGCAGGTTTAACTTTTCTATAGAATGTTGAAAATGAAATACCATCGTTAATTGAGTTGTAAAGTAATTCTATATCTGAACCTTGAGTACGAATTGGAAGATAATGACGAATCTTTTTATAAATTTCGGGTGTCATTAAAATTCTTTCTTGAACTTGATATTTTGTTTGATCCTTTAATAATTGTGGTGATGGTTCAACATATTCATCATATGATGATGAATCATAGCTTACATCTAATGATCTAATATTTGTATAGCTACCATTTCTTAACATACTTTTAATATCAATTGGTTGTGATTGTTGAGCCATTAATGTTGCTGGGTTGGAGATATTTGGTGGGAGTGTTGTTGATGCTACTGTTGTAGTAGTAGTTGTTGTTGGAGTCGTTATATCTGTAGTTGATTTTGTGCTTGATAGAATTGGGGATATGGTTTGTGGTGAGGCTATCTTGCTGCCAACAATTAATTGTTTCAAGTAAGAGAAACAAGCAAATACAGATTGAGCATCTGAACCTCTAAAGAAAATGGTTTGGATCGAGTTATCTTTATGAATAATGGCATAGATGCATGGGAAAACCAAAACCTTCTTTTCAACACCAGTTTCATCGTCTAATAATAATGTTTTTTCCTCCTCCATTTCATTTAATTTCGAAATCTCCTTTTGAAGAAAAGCATCGTGTTCGTCCTCTTCTTGTTTACTCTTTGTCTTTGCTTTTGCTTTGTTTCCAAAGTTATTATTCTTGTTGATTTTATCTTTGATATAACGTTGTTCTTTGTTCCAATCTTTAGAGAAATGAGCTAACCATTCGACTTTATTTGAAAGGTATTTACAACTAATGATATGTTGATACTCTGCAAATAATTGTATTGGTTTATTGGTGGTTGGTGTAATAACGGATTGGAAGATTAAATTATATGGTGTCAAGGTTAAATGACCTACAATCTTTTGATTTTTCATAAAACATACTAATTTTTCTTTAACGATATCACCTTTGCTAAGCTTTAATAATTTAATATTACTAATACTGCTAACACTGCTACTGCTGCTATTAACACTGCTTGAATCTGATTGTTCAGGTGAAGATTTTAATTGTTGTTGTTGTTCATTTTCATCTGATGGTTGATCACCTAAACTTGAAGTATTTGGAGCACTATCAAATAATCTACTCTTTTTATATACCCAAAGTTTTTGACCAGCTACCAATCTTTCAGAGTGTAATCTATTGGTTTGTATTATAATATTTCTTGGCATTGCAAATTGAAGTGAAATACCAGAAAGAGTATCAGTTGGTTTAACAATATATTGTTGAAGAATATTATTGTTTACAATATTTGGTTCGACCATTTTACCACCAAATGAACCTGATCTTCCTCTACCAGGTGGTGTACCAGAAATATTAGCACCCAAATTACCACTATTTATTGATAAATCGAAACTTGGTTTGACACCACTATTAATTGTCGATGATGCACTTTGAGATCTATTTCTTTCAACAGATGGAGATTCTGATAATGAAATGGATGGTACATTTAAAAGTGAAAAGCTATCAATAACTTTATTAGTATTTACTGTTGTTGTTGCTGTTGCTGTAGAGATAACGATTGGTGAAATATTTGAACCATCATTTGGGTGGACTGAGGTTGTAAATGGTGTACCATAGTTATTGTTGTTATTGGAGTTATTTGGATGATGGAAATTTGGTGTTAATGATACTCTTTTCATTGGCTGATTATTAACATTTTTTGGGGTTCTTCTTTGAATAGTTGGGGAGTCTAGCAAATTTTTAATTGTTGGGAATTCTTTTTTAGTGGATTTATAATAGCTTGAAATTAAATCTAAAATATGATAAAGGAATGGACTCTTTTTTTCAATGAGCTTACTTGAAAGTTTGTCTAGTTTCTTTTTTAATTTGACTTGAATGTTGGTGATGGCCAATGAGCTCTCGTTAAATAAGATATCGAATGTTGGTGCGGCTGATGGGTAAAGTGTTGGGAATAAAATTATTACACAAAATTTTCTATTATCTACGTTTACTATACAAATACGATCTGAGTATGATATCTTTTCAAATGATATATAATCAAATTTCTCTTGAATAATATTTCCTAGTTCTTGATGTAAATCTAATAGTTTATTTTTCTTTTTATCAATTTTATCACCATTATTATTATTATTATTACTGTTACTACTATTGTTATTACTAATGTTACTAAGTTCTATATTATTTACGTTTGTTTGTTCTTGATTTTCTTGATTGTTTTCGTCGTCTGATAAATCATTAATTGCTTGATCAATTAATTCTTGTGAGTCTTGAGATATTCTTAAATTTCTTGGTAATGGTTTTAAATTTTCACAAATTGAAGAATCATTTAGATGATGAACTAAACCACTATTAAATCTCCACATACTAAATTGATTATCTTTACCAATTGACATTAGATAATATTTCTTTGGATCTTTGCTAACAACATTATTTCTTTCAACAACTCTCCAATTAAAATCTAAAATTGCATCTTTATGACCACCTGTCAATGATAGAATTGGTTGCGACTTATCATTTCCCCATAGTTGAATATCATTAAATGAACCATTTGATGATGTCGATGCAATAACCTGATTTTCTAAAAATGGCTATAAATTTTAAAAAAAATTAGAAAATTTTTAAAAAGAAACGCGGTTTTGTGATAATCTAGTAAAATACTTACAACAAATCTTGCATATGATGAATAAGTTCCAGTATTATAATAGTGAATTGGTTTAGTGTTTTGCTTATAGTCCCATACTTTAATTGATTTATCATTAGGATTACAAGTTAACAATTCATGTTGGTGCTTAGTGCTCCATTGAATATTTGACATTGTACCAATATGTGCTGAGGTCGAAAAGCATGCAATTGGTGACCCAAATTTCTATAAAAAATAAAATTTTAGTATATTAGTATTTACAAATACCACATTTAATTGTATTAGTGTCTGTTTAAATAACTTACTCTAATATCAACAATATTAATTTCACCACCATTAGATGTTGCCAAAATATCAGATGAATATGGATCCCAAGCAATTTGTGAAAGATTTGAACGGAATTTATTTGATGAAATATTTGCACGCTCTCTTATATCCCAAAGATTAATAACACTATCACTACTAGCACTTGCAACTAAATTTGTATTTAAAGAATTCCATGATAACGAGGTGATATGTCTTATATGAGCCTTTGAGAATTTTTGTATTGTTTTTTGCTCTTTCATATTCCAAAGGAATAGAGAATTCTCTCTTGATGAGGATGTCATCAATAGATTTGACTCTGTTCTACTTGGACTCCATTCGACTAAATTACTATCAGTATCTTTTGATTGCTTTATCTTTTCGAAAATTCCTGTTGTCGATGTTGATGATGGTGTTGTGGCTGATGATGATGATAATGAGGTTGTTACAGTTTCATTATTAAGTGTATTTAATATACGTAATTGATCATCATTCTCTATATCTGTTGGTAAATGAAGTAAAAATAAATTTCTTTCACTCGATATCGCTATATTCTCTCCATTAATATCTGATGCTAATTTTGAAAATTTATATTTATTTTTTTTATCTAAACAAATGGTTAAATTTGGTTGTATTTGTTGTATTTGTTGTTGTTTTTGTTCATCCATTTTTTTTGTATTATTATTACTATTACTACTACTACTACTATAATATTATTTTTTTTTTATTATTATTTTATTATAGTATTGGTATTGTTATTTTATATGTAAGTTTTAATGTGTCATGTAAGAAAAAAAAAAAAAAATTTATATATTTATTTATTATATAATATGGCCAAATTAGGAATTAATACTCTATTTTTTTAAAATAAAATAAAATAAAATAATATATAAATATACAAATATTAAAATTTAACACACTTATGCATTAATTTTATAAACTTTTTTTTTTTATTATTTTATGGTTTTTGCAAAAAAATAAAAAAATTTTTAAAAATTAAAAAAAAATCTTTTTTTTTTTTTTTTTTTTTCGTTCTTTTAAAAGGTTTAAACCATTTTTTTTTTATAATAAATCTTTTCAGTTTTTTTTTATTTTTTTGAAATTACAACGAAAAAATAATCATGATAAATTAAAATAATAAATAAAAATAATAATAAAATGAAATTCAAAAATATTCAATAAAAATAATTTTAAATTTTTTATTCAGGTCAAATAGAAACATAAAATAATTTAAAAGTATCATCCAGGTTTAGTGTCATTTTAAATGAAATAATTTGAATTAAATTCATCATTATTCATTACCAAATCCCTGATACTTAAATGGTCATAAATGCTTTTTTTAAACCATCGTATCCTTAAATAGCAACAACATTAACTATGATCAAAATATAGTAACAGTAACATTTTAGAATTAAATATTGAAATTTCAAAATGTATAGTTTATATATGGTGTTCAATGGAAATTTAAACCAATTCTAAATCCCATAGCCGCTCTTGTTTCAAATATCCCAAATTTTAAAAAGCTCCTGTTATCAAATGTACATAATTTCTTTTAATCTTAATCAAACTTGATTAAAACAAAATAAAAGTCAAATGATTAAAGTAATAAATAATAATAAATAAATAAATATACTTTATATATGGCAACATTTAAATTAAATAAATAAAAAAGAGGTTCAAAGAAAATGTTTTATATTTTGTTTTGTTTTATATTATTTATTTTATTTATTTTTATTATTGATTAAAACTAGTTCTCCCTTGTCGATAAAACAAATAACGCCAAAACACAAACTAAAGCGTATTTAAGTTGAGGATAATCGTGCATAACAATGGTAACCATACCAACTGAAGGAAGGAAGCCTTTGGCTCTTCCAATAATATGATCTCTTGTTAACCATTTTTGACCTTGGGCATATAAACCTAAATCATCAACTGAATTGTTATCACCTTTAGTTCTAATTTCATAATCACCATTTTCCCTAAAAAAAAATAATATTATAATAATATTTATTAATACCTATAAATCTTTTTTTTTTTATTATTATTAAATAAATGTATAATGTCCTTACTTTTCATGAATTTGTAAAATTCTGTGTACAATTGGGATTTCTTTTCCATCGATTTTAAAAACTACAATTTCACCAACTCTGAATGGACCATCTTCCATATTTAAATATAATAAATCACCTCTGTAAAATGCTGGAATCATACTACCACTTAAAACTACAACGATTGGACTTTCACTACCGCTAAAAATCATTAAACCCTTCCATATCATTAAAGCTGTTGCGACAATTAAACCAAAGTTTATAATTTGTTGAGCAATCTAAATAAATAAATATATATATACAAAATTTGAATTAAATTGGTATTAATAGCTAAGGTAAATATTGGTATGATTAGATATTATCATGATATTGATATTGATTGTGATTGTGATTGGCTGATAATTACTTGATATTTTGGAATGTTATTAAATGGATTCAAGTTTTTAATCATATCCATTTTTTTGATTAGATTATAATTATTATTTTATTATTTTATTGTTTTATAAATATGGGATTTTATAAATTAATTTTAAAAATTAAAAAAAAAAAAATTATGAAAAAATAAAAAAAAAATTCAAAAAAAAAAAAAAAAAAAAAACTTCAGCATCATCACTTTTTTTTATAAATTTTTTAATTAAACCATATTTTAAATTTCTATTATTATAATATATATATATCTAAGATGGAAAACAAAAAACTATTTAAAGCTAACGAAAAAAAAAAATTAAAATTTACTTTCCCAATAATTAATAAATAAAAACCAAAACCACATTAGATACCATATGCAATAAATAGATATAATTAAATTTAATTTGAACTCGTTATTATAGTGATGATAAGTAAATATTATTTCAATGACATAGTTTTACAATATTTTTCCACCAATAGAGGATTTTCAAAATTTTGCCACCATATTTACAAGAGTCCGCAATAGTACCATTCATCACAACCAAAACTACACTTTTAAAATTAAAAAAGAGTAATAAATCAAGAGGAGGATTTCAAATCTCTTTTTGAATTTAAACATAAGAAAAAATAGCCATAATTACATATTAATCATTATAAGCATTTTAATGGGAACAAATTACACAACTTTCCCACATAATAGAAAACAATAGTAATAATAATAAATAACAAAAATAATAAAATATCCAATATAAAACAAACTTTTTTTATTTTTAAATATTAATAACAAATTTTTTGTTTTTAAACTTTTTTACAAAATTAATAAAAAATACTATCAAAAGATTTATACCCTTATTAAAAAGAG